ATTTGTTTAATTATTTATTTTTTAAGAAACTGCACTGAATTCAAAAGGGCTAAAAAACATAAAATTTGATTTTCTTGCATTAATCAACTGGTTTACTTAAAACCGAACGATATCACAAGAAATATATTCAAAATGAAATGAAAATTTTTGTTTTATTGTTAGTCCTATTTGAGTGATAAACGTTGCAAAAGATTTTCAATTTGGGGTTATTTTTTAACAATCAGAATACATGTACCGTATTTATTCTGGAAAAGAAAAAAATCGGAGTAAGCGAATAATCTGAAAATTTGCACACACGTTAAATTAGATTAAACGGAACAGTAATCACGAAAATTACCGGCATCTCCGGCAATAAATCCGTTGCCGGCAACAAATCCTAGTCGAGTAAAAGGGTAAAGGAGTAATTTGCTTTAGCTGTTATGTTTTTTTATTTGCTTGGTAAGATCTTGATTAATGTTATCTTTTGGTACTGTGCTTCTACTAAATATTATGAAGAATGTAACGGAATATATCTGGCGGTTTTCTAGTTATTATGAGAACTTCATGTGAAGATTTCATGGTCCAATCTTTTTCTCATAATGATAGTAATTGTAAAATTGTAAAATATGTATTTGTAAATAGGCAATATGAAGCGATGTTGATATAGGCTAAGAATCTTGTTAACCATAAAAGGACATAATGTTTGACAGTTAAGATGCCTTTCATTTTCTTGGATGTCAATAATACCTGGGCATTCTTTTACACTTTAGCAATTAATGCGTGTTTCCAGTCACTTGGGACAAAACCTGTTAAATTTAAGGGAGATTTTAAAAGATGTTAATATTGGAGAGACTACGTGATTAGAGGCTACTTGATAGCTACTTGTCAGCTCGAAACTAGATGCTTCATATTGGTTTAAACCTATAGAGTTTATATACCATCTTCAAATATTACTAGTAAGACGTTTAGCCTGTTTGAGTTATCACTTTGGATGAGATTTGAACTGTTAAAAGGTCTGGCATAGGTTAAGGGAATCAGTGTGGTGTGTTTCACAGTTAACTTTAACCTTTCTATATTTGGTTTTCATAACTTTAACTTTAGATTTCCATCTTTTGTTTAGGCGAATGCCCCATGCTTATTTTAATTTTATGAAATCATGTCGTGATCTGTGGAGGCTAATGGAAGAAGGAAGGAAATACTATTTGTAAATGGGACGGGATGAAAGTGAGAAGCAAATCAAGGATACTAGTGTTGAGCCTGGTTGGGAAAAAAATCATTCGCTGAAAGTATGGATATGTAATTCGTAACTTGCAGTTTCCAGTCTAAGATTCAGTTGACCATTGATGCTTACTAAGTTAGTATAATGAAGTCAGCAAACATCCAGACATTGCTATTTTATGGATTTCCGTAATCGATGACCAGAGTTTGGCACTACTGTGTCACGTTGAAGGTTACATGATAACCGCCGTATGAACACATCTGCGGATGTTCTTATTTCAAAATTTTACCATTTTCGTGTATAAATGTTGAATTATGCTTAAGCCGGTGCTAGGGGGGGGGGGGCGTGGACGGTAACTTGTAATTTTTAGTACCTTAAAAGTGACATGTAAGTGCCAATCCATGAAAAGCGTCATACGGTCCCCAAGTAAAAAATGCGTGTGTCCCTTACAAGAAAACAATGAATTAAATAGAATTTTTAGATCAGAGGTTATGAAGCCCTTTACCCAAAGAACAATATTGGTTGAAAAGGACTTGTGGTTTCTAACGCCGCAGTAAAAGCACTACTTACCAGTTAAAACCGGTTAATGGCAACCCAACCATGCATACTTCACTCTTTGTCGTATCACCATACTCCAGTTAAAATAAAAAGAATACACATCGAGCGAAGAACATATAGAAATAATTTACATGCAATTCTAGAATTAGTTGTCCCAAAGGACATCACAGATGTTCGTTCCTGGGTTTGGTATTGCAAGCCAGGTCTTACTAGCTTTTGCCGTATTTCACTTCAGTGTTGTCATATTTTTCTGGTCCTTCGGGATCATTGATGCCAGCACTATTAAGTGTTGAGAATTGAGTACCGCTCAAGCCGGTGCTAGAGGGCGTGAGGGATGTTGCACTTATTCATTATCCCTCATGTACAGACTCATTCAAACCGAGTCTGCAATTTTCAAGAATAATGCTGCCGAGGGATCACTTTGTTTACAGATTTCAGTGTGGCAGATAGGATACAGCCCTTTCGACAGCTGCTGAAGTTAGACACATCATTCATATGGGATTCTTCCCTACAGGCAATGTTAGATGAGTCCATGCATGCTATTGCAAGTAAAACATGATGTTGGGATATGTGATGGCTCTCTTAAGGACCTTTCAAATACTATTCTTTGAAATAATCTAAAGATACAAGTTCGAGATTTTTCATGTTTCTAGCTATGATGATATCCTTACCTAATATGAAAGCTTACCATGACTCAATGTGTTATATTGAAGGTTCCATGATAACCGCCGTATGAACACATCTGCGGATGCTTTTTACAATTTCATGTTAAATGTTGAATACTGCTTAAGCCGGTGCTAGGGGCATGGACGGTAACTTGCACTTTCCATTACCGTCCATGAATAGGCTCAATCAATCCGACCCTGCGACATTTTCAATTTTGTCGTTTTGTGCGTTCTTTACGGATTCTTTATCATCTCTATTTTGCGACTCCCAACATTGTGTACAATGTATTAAAATCCATGCTGAGACTATTGAATTCCTTTACTTCAGTGCTTAACAGCATTGATACAGGGGCGTATGAGGTTCTTTCGCGCTCCCTTTCCTTTTGCTTAAATGCCCTATCTTTTAATATTTCCTTGGTGTCGTCTTTGGAATTCGACTCTTGAGCATGGCATTCAAAGGATTTTTTATGAACTTCCGTTACCAAACATTTTATTTATGTAGGACAAATTATACAATATGTATGTTTTATATCAGTGTACTATAAATTACATTGTATACATATGTATTACACTTTCTTGCAAATATAATACACATTAACTTCCATTACCCCGACTCTTCCTTTAGTGATTCCTATTTTCTCTATTCTATTGTATATTTGAGATTTACATGCATTTATGTTACAAAAATGCAATTAAAATTATAATCATTTATACTTATGTATGTAGTTATAAAAAAAGATATCGTGTTTAACACATATTTCTATATTTTTGAGATCTTACGTACAATATAATTTTTTTTTAAATAATCCGTTACAAAACTCTTACATCTCCAAAACGCATGTAGATCTAAGACAATACATCATTTTCATCTAAAAAAAAATAACACATTTTAAAGCAAAATCTTATTTTCAAGAAGGCCTTCAATAACATAAAAAAGACATATTACAAGCAAATTTTTATAAAAATAAAAACATTCCGTACATCTTAACAGACATAATATTATATATAGTAGAGGTATATTCCTATGATTCATCTATTGATATCAATAAATGTGTGATTTAAAAATTTAAACAATTTAGTAAGACTCGTAGATTTTCTTATTTCTATAGGATTATGTTCCACAGCTCCATGCAGGATCCCCCCAGTTCCTATCATTGTGTCACATTTAAAGTTCTATGATAACCGCCGTGTGAACTTATCTGTACGTGGGTCTTTCAAAATTCCAAATCTCACTGCTAGGGTGCGGTGACTTGCATTTCCTGTAACCGGCACTCAACGGTTGCAGACTAATGATACAACATTATACTTATTATTTGCATGTTGTAATCGGTACAAGTCAACCCGGCCCTAAGTCAATACGGCCTCAATTGAATCCGGTCCCAAATTAGTCAATCCGGCCCCAATTCAATTTGATATCTGATCAACCCTGCCTTATTTTTATTATTAAGTATTTGCCACTATTTTTTCTTCATTAACTTTTTCTGCTCAAGAAATAATGTGAATAGTTATTATTGCAAGATAATAAAAAAGAATTATGATATCTAGAATCACATTAGCCGTTGTCATCAAAACAAGTTAACTTATGTACGTCCTTTATTGTTTAATTAACAACTTATTTAAAGAAAAGGTGATGATTTCAAAACAAATCTTTGAATACATTCTCTTGTGCTGTTTATCTTGATAATTATACAGATTATGTCCTGAATAGAATAAAGATAGAAAGATAATAACAAAAAGTGAAAAAAGAAGTGCTATATTAATAATATTAAAACTGTAGACACAGTTTTGATAACGGCTGAGTGTTGCGGACAGCTCTTTGTAGAGGTACATGTGGGAAAAGAAAACACATAGAGTAAACACGGATGTAATATTTTCAAAGTTAGTTATTAAAAAGAATTGTTTCATTATTTTTTCTCTTGATTTACTAGTATAGTAACGGTATCAAATAAGACATCATGAGTTAAAGCATTTTCATATTTAGGAAAATATATTTTCGAATTTACATCAAAACTTTGTTACATTGTTCATAATCTTCATTTGATAAAGTTTTATTTATTTGTAAAAATGAAATTATTTATACATTTTTTTAAAATCTTTTTTAATGTGTGTAATAAATATATCTTAAATAGACAAAAGGGAAAATGAAAGAAGCAAAATAACGTCTAAAACTTGATAATTTAATTTAATAAAATATTCTCCAAAAATCAATTTTGGGGCCGGATTGACCGATTTCTGCGCCGCATTGACATAATAAAAATAATGTCGGCCGGATTGACCAATTTTGGGGCCGGGTTGACTTATTTTGGGGCCGGATTGACTTGAGGCCGGGTTAACTTGGGGCCGGATGGACTGTAATTCGTTGTAATTATTTCTTTACAAAATAAAGCTAGGCTTTTTTTAGATGTGACTTGTTTTATTACTATTTATAAGATCTTCAAATTTCAATGCATTAGGATATCTATAATAATACGGTTTACTACAGATAGCAGAATGTGCTTTTCAAGAAAACTTTGTCTTTGGGATACTTTATTTTCTACACCAGTCTATTTCGATTTGGTTCCAGGCGTTCATTGGTTTGACAGAAGCCAAATAGGAATCCAGTAGTGTCAAGGACGCATTGCTGCGGAAGGTCGTTGTGGATGCAGATTAAACAATTAATGTTTCTTCTTCCAATGAGATTTAGTGTTTAATTAGTGCAATTATCCAAACATGGCTAGTCCACAACAAATGCGGCGTGGAGATTTAGGCAGAAAGTATAGCGTAATGGCTACACCAGGACGAGAGGGGCAACAAATCCAAGCCGGCATCTATGCTGGTCGAGCTATAGGGGTATTTACCAGCGGAGGCGACTCTCAAGGTATATATTATATAGAATTTTACATATACTGGGTTTCTCTGAATATGTAGCATGCGAGAAAAGCAAAAATTGTTATATAGGTCAGTAGGTCAACTGGTCATTCATACTCAGCACGAAAAAGTGATTTTTTTCCCTGTATTTTACAGTTGAATAAAGGCTGTTTCCCCTAGTTCTGGCTTCCATAACTTTATATGTCCCTTTTATTTTGACGTGCGACAGTAAAGTTATGGGTCAACCCTATTTGCAAAGGTTACCAGAATTTTGGCAGTTCTTTGCCTTATATAAAAACCTATTAAAATCACTCTTATTCATTAAATTCGGGTCAAATAAAAATACCATTTGATAAACAAATCAATTTTGAATCAATTCATGTTTTGTTTTTAAATGAAACTTCAATGACATTGTGTACCCGCAATCCGGTCAACTCGTCCCCTAGTCAACTCGTCCTCTGGTCAACTCGTCACCTTTTTGGTCAACTCGTCCCCTACTTTTGGTCAACTCGTCCTCAAAGAGTCAACTTGTCCCTAATATGGTCAACTCGTCCCCTACGTTCGATCTATTCGTCACTATTATGTTGTAAATCAATGTCTTTAAATAGTACTTTTTATGTAAAATTTATAATGAATTTGATTGATATCGAAATATTAATAAAATAACGTCTTTTTTACGTTAAATTTTAATGATCTTTATCTAACCCACGTGCATAGCTTTGATGTAAAATTACAAAGACAGGTAAGTTTGCAAACATTCAATTAATGTTTAATTAATCGGAGTTTTAATGATAATTAAAACTAAAATTAGGTCCAACTCTTTGATTTTTACCTCCTCCCTGAATGGATTAAAGACTAACGACAGATTAACAGAAATTGGAAGTGCTAAAAACTTTATGTCGGTGCGTATTGATCTCATTATAGAAGGATCGTGTCAATTAAAAACATGATAATTGTTTGTTGTGAAATTGTCAATTGTTTCTGATTTTTTTAAAATTGAATTTCATTGTAATATTATGGTCCATTATCATAGGAGTTGAATAAACATACATGCCTTTTGAAAGAGTTAGTATTTTTTTTTTTTCATTATTTTTTTTTAAATAAAAAATCCGTACAATGATATTTGCCGTGGATATTAACTAATTGAAAACATAAAGTAATTACTAAATATTCAATTGCCATCTAATAATAAGTAAAGATTAATATTAAATTTCCATAAATAAATCTTTAAATTGATCTCAAAGAGGGGCTGTATAAAACTGAGTTCCAGAATTTCTTGTATAATACAAGTCAACATATTGAATGTATTAATTGTATTTAATTCAACATTTTCACATATTTGACCATACACCATCCATACATGTGAACTTTTTTTGATGAACAAGTGGGAGATTTTTCTTCAAAAAGAGGGAGATTTTAGAATTTGCAATAAACAAAGAAGGAAGTTCTGACATTAGAAATAGGGAGATTTCTTTAATTTGTGAAAATACCCCTTATTTTAAGAAAAATCTTAGAAAATATGTCTGCAGAAAGTGGGAGAGGTCACATGTATGACCATCAAAAACAAAGTCGACATTTGGAAAATAAAATTTTATAACAACCTTTGGCACGATTTTCACGCGATTTGTATAATTTCTAATTAAAGACACGCGTTCTTTTAATATGTATATACGTATCCAACCACAGAGGCAAATGTGTCTTTAATCCTGTTATCAAATTACTATGTGTTTACTTTAATAACCAAAGGCACGTGTCATGATATATTTAATTAACAACAAAAAAAACTCCAAATATTCGCATACAAAAAGCGTCAAAATATGTCAAATTCAGTAATTTTATAATGTATTATTTTAACAGTCTATGATAATTTATTGGGGGGGGGACGAGTTGGGGACGAGTTGACCAGGGGACGAGTTGTCCAAGGGACGAGTTGACCAAAAAGGGGACGAGTTGACCAGAGGACAAGTTGACCAGGGGACGAGTTGACTCTGAATCGTGTACCCAACTATTTGTTAGGGAAATATGTAGAAAATGTTTACCAATATGGAGTCTGCTTTCAAATGAAATCTCACGGGACTTCATGTTCTGGGAATACTAGCATCTATTGTAAGTAACGGACCATACACTATTTTTAGTATGTGTACGATTTTGAATAAAAACAAACAAATAATTCATGAATCAACACTCGAAACATTATAAATCTAACTTGTTTTGGTACAATGTCTGTTAATGAATAAATACACCGTTATTGATTAATTGCAAAGCAATGTTTTCAATTAAAAATAGCATTTGGGTCATGGGTCACCAAATGTCATGCAAAGGTATCCAAACCTAAATTCTCGCTAGTCACGTGATAATTAGGGCAGCTATGGTGGCGAATTTAATGAAATGTGAACCAACTGATAAACTTTGAGGCATTATTTCATCAATCTAACGTTCTGTGTTCAAAAATATAGACTGAAGTGTCCCAAATATATCTTACTACCTGTATTAAAATTAGGGATTAAACGATGATCGAGTATAATCGAAAATTGATCGTTTATAGAACCGATCGGCGATGATCGATTACAAAGTTTAATAATCGATTATCGGTAATTCATTTTCTTGCTGTTACTTAAGTGACTCACTGTATTATAACAACACTCTAATTTAAAGCCAGTTTTGGTTGAAACAATAATTTTCATTTAATTGAATACGAAAGCATACTGGTGACCATGGAGTTAATAGTTGACAGTGAGGCATGCTAGTTTAAAGATATACTAACTATGTTCAAATTTTGACATTAGAAAATATTTAAAATTGCTAGACAGTATATGTTTAAATATAAAATAAACATGTTTTGACTTCACACAAAGAAGATATGTTTAATATGTATAATATGTAATATTATATACATAATATGTATAAAACTATTCTACACACAAAAGGTGGTTGCAGATATAGTGTCATTATAAAAAACTGGCAGTTTTGTTAAGAAAGGACCAACTTAACTTGTTCCCAAACATAGTTTATTCATTCCTTTTTTGGAAGTGAGACATAATAATTTCATAGATTTTAATGAATTTACTTGATTAAAATATTTTACTCAAGGATGAGCATAGTATATTTTTAAACTAATTTATTTCAGTTGATAAAGTCGTGGTTACATGGAAATGGAATTCTTATAAATATTAAAGCATGATATGTACATTGTACATATTTACTATGTTATTGTAAATGTTTCGATTATATAATCGATGATTGATCGAAAAGGGTTGTTTGATTATTTTCGATGATCGATTATGATTTTTGTCCGATTGAGAAACCCTAATTAAAATAGCTTTTGTCCAGATCACCCAAATTTTTTGAATTACAGCATGACATTAATATGTCACGGTTCTGGTTGGCTTTCCATACGTGATTGGCTTCAGCGAACAGGTCTAGCAGTACTGTAAACCTGTTCGCTGAAGTCTCTTTAGCTAGTTTCCCCTAGCTCAAAATAGGTATATTTTCCCCTAAAAAAGCTAATATTTTGCCCTGCAATGCCCTGTGCACATCTTCACCAGAACCATTACTTAACAGCATCTGACTTAAAAATTATATCAGATAGAAGACAGAAAGCTGTCCCTATAGCCTCTGCTATGTACCATGCATGTTAAATTGAATTGAAATTGAAAATTTTATAAAATGTGTTGGTAAATTCAATTCTCAGTTGTTGGAATTTGATTTTCCCCTTTTCTGATTTATCATGCTGTATTTCCCCTTCAGAAAGCCACAGGTTGTTTTGAGAATTGGTCCTTATTGGAAAAATAAATCACTGCGAAAAAAACTTGTGTAGATTCTATATGGTCTTAAAATATCATGTAACCCAAACCAATTTTAACTTGCCTGTAAATTCAAACAAAAGTTGTTTAATTCATTTAAATCTGGAGAAATTGGTGGAAAGTGATATCATTCTATCAACATTTACATCTGGTATTCTCTTGGTTAGAGACCACCAAACCTGACAACCACAAAACCTGGAGGGCCATGAAAATGCCTGATTTACTTTTTTCTTTGTTCAGTGGTTGTTGATCTATTGTTGATTTATCAACAATAAATGCATGTTTCTCCTATAATTAAGTAATTAAATTTATTTCAATTATTGTAAACGATAATATTTTAATATCTATTTCAAGAACATTGACAATGAAAAACTTGGACGTCAACAGTGCAATACCTGACCTCTTATACTATCTAATATTTTTGTTGAGTAAATAATAGAATATCCAAAACTTCAGCATTTGCTGCTGAAATACCTTATATCATGTTAAAAATAAAAAAAATTAAATACCCAGCCTTTATTGAATTAAATCAGCATCATGGACACATCTGTCCAGACACATGGTAGGCCTACTGAAGTTTGGACAATTTAGGTAATTTTGATACCATCCTTCACATGCCTCAGATGTGTCAACATAATCAGAAATAAATAAACTTGTTTGTTAGTTAGGAGAAGAACTTAGCTGTACTGTGCCAAATCTTCAGATCTCTAGCTTTAAAATTATGAAATCTGTATGGAAAAATGTTCAAAAAGTGACCGGTTGATGGTCCCTCCTGACCAGTGCAGAGAAAAGAAACTTTTTGACCAGTTAGTTCCATATACGCTCATATTGTTTGTCAGTGTTTTGTTATTTAATTTATTTTCTGGGCTTTGTGCCAGGTATTCATTTTAACATGTAAAGATGTTTGCCATGTTGATGACAGCAGTTTAGCAACAGATTATTCTCACAAATACATACATGTACAGTATTACTTTTATTCTCTTTTAATGAGGGTGTTGCAGTATATATAGATAGACAGATAGATATATAATAACATATCTGAATAATTTCATTTAGCTCACCCAGTAGGTGTCATTTTGGAAAATCCTGTGTTCTTACCCATGTGATATCTAAAAGAATCAACAAGTGTCTAACAAGAAAAAAAACAACAGCTGCCTTAATCGTAGAGAAACAAAAAAAGAATGACCATTAGCTCAAACATATGTTCAGATTTAATAAGCACCTATGAAAGGCTTATAGTAAGACTTTACACAGGAAAATCTGTTCATACCCATCATTAACTCTTATTTACTTTCGTTAAAACATATAGCCAATTTTTTTTGATATGGGCAAGTAAAGTTAAGCTGCAGACAAGTTAAAACTTCTGCTCAACTTGTCCATAGGCAAATCACTTCTGCAAAAGTACTTGTCGGACTGGACAACAAAATGTTTAAGTTAATGTCAAGGCCTGGTTTGGCACTAGAAATACATAAAGTAGTTGAAAGAAATCAAAATATTCTCTTTAAAATGTATGTTTGTTGACATTTTTACTTCAAATCAGATCTCAAGCAAAATGAATCTTTGGATTTTCCAGACCACAATACTGTGTAGCACACTTAATTATGTTGAATGTTGGATTTATTATCTATATAGAGTACTTAAAGAAAAAACATATAATTTACAGACAATTTTGTTAACTTTCTTGCTTGAACAAGACATCAGTAATAATAAACTTACACATTAAAGTTAATTAAAGCAGTATTTACCGTTCACTTTAGCTTACTTAATGTTTTATTTTCATCTTTTAAATTTAATCATTTAAAGACATACAATGTATTACTTTGATGTTAAATTTTTATTTTGAATATTTTTAGGGATGAACTCTGCTGTGAGAGCTGTTGTCAGAATGGGTTCGTACTTGGGCTGTAAAACATACTATATCAAAGAGGTAAATCTTAATTAATTCAGCTTTTTTTCTCTACTTTGGGAATAGTGCCGGTACCAGACTGATTGGGAAAAAATATGTTATTTTGACATAAATTGGGAATTTTTATTATGAATTTTTTCAGCTACAAATAAGAATAGTCGTCAGGAATAAAGACTGCTAATATCTTCCACTGGCCAGTGGTGATTTATATGAATATGTTTCAGAGAAATCTCTTAGCCTTGTGGGAATTTTGAACAGCCATTTTGGGAATTTAAACATTAGATATTGGGAATTTTAATGTCTATTTTCTATTGGGAATACTACCTTTTTAGGGTAGTAGTTATATAAAGAAAACAAACCACTATCATAAATTCTGAGTGTAACAAATCTGTTATCCCATAGAAAACATTGCAGACTTTAAATCATCTCCTGCCATTCACTTATGAATATTTCACATGAAGAGGTTATCTAACTAAAATTTTTAGAAAAAAACAGCAGGCATCTTAGGCCATCTCCAACAGTTAAGCTGGAAAGTTGCCATTTGACTTCTGCTTTGAACCCTTTGCCTGCTGATGGCATCACAGTCTACTCATGCAACCAGGTCAGACCATGATCAGCCAGCACATCTGTACCATCTGATCATGGTCTGCTCTCTTTATTATTGAGGCAGTACTAATCATAAAATTTCCTCTAAAAAAAGTAATAATTTTGTCCAGATTGAAAGATGGACAAGTTTATTTAGGGTTGTTTAAGTATGGTTAAACCCAACCAGTAAAAGTTACAATTAGTTTTGATGTAACATTTGTTTAATATTTATTACGCTTTTTATTTAATTTAAAATTTTGCTTCTGAACTTACCATTGTTATCATGAGGATTTTAGCCTTTTACCTTGCTGCTGGGACCAAAAGTGACTGGCCTTTGCTACTACTTGTGTAGTATAAAGAAAGGGGACTAATCACCAAACAGAATAAAGCTAGATTAGACTGAATGTACAAGCTTGCCTGGGTCTATACTTGTAACATAATATGCATTATAAGCACTCAGGCAGCCAACTTGAAAAAACTAGAAAGACAAGTCTGTCCCTACAAGTTGTGAAGGTGTCTGCCTTTTAACCAAGACATCTTGGGTTCAAACTCTTCTTAGAGTCACAACCAATATGATTGTGTCCTAATACGACACCAGTACAACATGTTGTTGATTTATCCAGGAAGTTGCTGTCAAACTGATTAACATTAGTGGCATAAAACCTGTTACAATAGCTTAAATTTAGATATTTTTTGAAAATATAAATCTTTCTTTTTTCAGGGTTATCAAGGTATGGTAGATGGTGGAGACTATATTGTAGAAGCTACCTGGGCGAGCTCATCTGGCATTATGCAACTGGTATTGAAATAGCTTTTACTAGAAATTAAAATATTTTATAACATCCAATGGAAAATATAGTTTATTTCATTAATACTATAATTGAGAATCCAAATATTTCTGACAATCACAATCAATTAAAGAATGCCCATTGTCAATCAATTAAAATCAAGTCAACACAATCAATTAAAATCAAATCAACACAATCAATTAAAATCAAATCAACACAGGTACTCAGTTTCTTAAAACATAATAGTTAGTTTTTAAATAATGTACTTTTTACTGACATTATCTATAAATTTACTTTATATAAGTGGACTTGTACACAATATAATGAAATAAGCTAAGTATAAAAATTCCACCATTGACAGGCTATTATGTTTCTTCATTTCCTTCTTGAATGTCATGATTTTGCACTGTTTCGTGATATTTTTTTTCCAGATCATTTATAGAACTTTTTGCCTCATTTTCATCCAAAACCCTGAGTGATAAAGTACTGAAAGGAAATAAACCTGTGTTATAATACCTAGCAAACTCATGTTACACTTTAGGTTTTAATAATTACAAAGTTCAGTGCAAATTAAAATAAAATTTCAACCTACCTACCTTTGTGTTTGGTCAGTGACCATAAACAGAACTATTTATTCTTTGCCTAAATATATAGAGGATATTCAAGTTTTTTCTATAAATACATGATTTATTTTCATCGAGTGGTATGAAAATGAATATTTCATGAGTGGCGGTAGCCACGAGTGAAATATGGTAATTTTCATGCCACAAGATGAAATAAATCATGTATTTATAGAAAAAACTTGAATTTTCTGTTTATTATATACATTTTTCTCTTTTTTTGCGATAAAAATGAAAGACTTTCCCTTAAATTTTGTGTACTGGCAGAATTTAAAAGAAAGTAGTCCGGCAAGACATCAGTGAAAATACGGAAAATATGTTTCACTGCAGTGAAAAATAAATTTTTACAGTGAAAATACGGAAAATGAAAATACGCATTTTATTTCATCAATATTTCTCAATATTTCATTTATAAGTATATAATAAATAAAACAATACCTTGTTGTTAAAATGAACATTTTATTACAGATATGGCATTTGAACAAGAATTTTGAATGTTTATTATTTTTTGCATCTAAGGGAGGTACAGTTATTGGCAGTGCAAGGTGTAAAGATTTTCGGGAAATCGAGGGAAGACTGAAGGCTGCACAGAATCTAATTGAAAGAAAAATTTTGAGTCTCGTTGTAATAGGAGGAGATGGGAGCTTGACTGGTGCTAATATATTTAGACAAGAATGGCCCACTCTGCTCCAAAAACTTTTTGAAGCAGGTGAATAGAATAATTATTAATAATCATAAATTTTGATACTTTTCTAATAAATAGTTATTGTTACTTTTGTAATTTATTACTTGTCTATATACATATATATATGTTTAGTTTAGTTTATGCAAATTTGTTTTAGTTGGAAACTATTAGCTTATTGAAACATTCATGAATCTGTTCCTAGAACCAGCCAGTACTGAGCGATGAGTATAAAGATTCAAGGAAACAACAGCCTGCCCATTACATCAAATATAATATATATACATACATATATACATATATATAAACTCAATTAGCACAAAGAAAACACAATGGTCACTGTGGTATAGTGGTTAGCATACTGGACAGGCAATTCAGAGACCCATGGTTTGAGTCCTGGCTCTTATTTGTTATTTCTATGTACCTAAGGTGGATTGTCTGCTGAGATTTGACCAAAAATTGTGTTAAAATCGGTGTTAAAATCAGGAAAAACAAGTAAACATAGCATACAGATATAGTAGAAATTAGTACTAGAATGGTTGAATGATTTTAGAGCTCTCAGATTGTTAAAATGTTCAAGTAAATTTGCCCGAAAGCCATTTTTGGGACTGTTCTTGGTAAAAGTAGGAAAGAAACTTTCGTTAGAACAACCTCATCTGGTGAATATTTGGAAAAATTTTGTCTTGAGACTGTGGCAATGTTATAAATGCACTTTTGATAACTGGTACATTGTACTTTATTTGTTATGTTCATTTATATTTAAATAAACAAAGATTGATGAAATGGTTTCAGGGAGGATAACAAATGAGCAGTTTCAAGAATGTGGTCACCTGAACATTGTTGGTATGGTAGGTTCTATAGACAATGATTTCTGTGGTACAGATATGACTATAGGCACAGACACCGCCCTTCATAGAATCATGGAATCCGTGGATACAATCTCTACCACAGCTTCTAGGTATATATTAAACAGCAAAATTGATCAATTCTCTATGTAAAGGCTAAAGTGGCAATCAAAAATGATACAGTTATAAGCAGTAAAGTACTCTTTAGAGATTTCAATAAATAAAACAATGGTTTAAACAGGTGAGGAACACACATTCAACCATCATCGGAACCCACGGTACACATTCCGTATATACTACATTTAATATAATATAGGTATTATGGTAAATAGCCTGGGTTACCAAGGATGAGGTACGACACCAGGTCGAGTTTAATGATTTTAATCTAGTTTAATATACCTTGCAAAAGTAGGCTGGAGGAAATTTTGAAGTTGTTAGTGACTTTACCGACATCTGTTGCTTGCAGAGTGTGTCTAAGGCTATTCATTATTATAGATATCATAGTATTATTATTGTTACTGTGAAAAGACTGCTCAGTTATTTTAGTTGGCCAGTCTGAGAATCGAATCCACTATGTGGAGATCACATGCCTTGCATTCTAACCAAATGAGCTATGTGGGGGCTGCCCTATACAAGCGTCATAGGCAGGTTATAATCACCACAAGGATAAAAGATTAGAAAAGGTTAAATCTCATTCAAGCCACAAAATCACTTGTATTTGCTTGCTGTGGATTTGTTGCCCATTCTCAATTTGACTGTAGAAATTCTGTAAGAAATTTACTTTACGTAATTTATTCTATTTCAGTCATCAGAGAGCTTTTGTACTGGAAGTAATGGGAAGACATTGTGGGTAAGATCAACATAAAAAAATATATTTCATATTAAATGGACTTGTCCAGTTTCTAATTTTGGTACTGCCCATTATTATTTTTGGGATGTGAAGGTGAAAAATTAAATTTGTCATTTGACAGTATAGAAGTTTTTTTTCACATTCCAATTATTACCTTCCCTGGTTGCCATGTTGGGTTGGGGGGGGGGATTCCCAATATATCATATGCTAAAGAACTGGTAAAAATCTCTCATAATGCATCATCATCAAAACTGATGAAATTCTTTAACATATAGGCGCTATATATAATATTTTTCTGCACATGTGACAGTATTATACATTTAATAATATATAATCATAAAGGCACAAGTGTAATAAACATACAAGTGTAGGATTTTTGAAAAATGTGCTATGAGAATAACCATTTTGGGAAGGATATAAAGTAAAACAGATAGAAAGAGGAAGAAAAGGGGTGGGGATAGGAGGTGGGTTTTTGAGCTGTTCGACTTTACTGTAAAGTAATTTTAATGGTAAACACATGCATGTTTACATGTCATTCATTAACAATGAGCTTAATATAGATGTGCTACAGGTTCTACGCAAAAGATGGAATGAGATGTCTATTATATACCAGTTTAAAATAGATATATTTCACACCAATACACTTTTAGGGTTTTCACCATATGATGTTCCAACAGAAATCATTATTGGATCCAATCTTATTAATATAGCCTGTTTTTCATTTTCAGAATCCAAAACATTCATATCTAAGGCATATTGTACCCCCATATAGCCTTGTTTTTTGGGAGTTTTTTTGGATACCAAAAGATCAATATCAAATGCATATCATTCTTTCTGGACTCATTTTCATTTTTGATTCAAAATTACATATCAAATTTTTATTGAAGTAAACAAAAGTTCTTTCAAAATGTTAAAATATAGTGGTATATGAAACAAATAGGTTGTTATACATTGTTGAGAACAATAATGATTCTATTGGACTCATAGACATCTGCAAAACCTATATCAGACAGAGCTAGTACCCTGTCCAATATATAATCATTTTTGACAGATGTGCACTAATCCAATAGAAATCAGTATTGTATTCAATAATGTTTAATAACATTCTATGTATAATACAAATTAAATTATATATGAGCTGCGTCACGACAAAACCAACATAATGGGTTTGCGACCAGCATGGAGCTGTTAGACTTTACTGTAAAGTAATTTTAATGGTAAACACATGCATGTTTACATGTCATTCAATAACAATGAGCTTAATATATGTGCTACATGTTCTACGCAAAAGATGGAATGAGATGTCTAATAGATAACAGCATCCGCGCAGTCTGATCAGGATCCATGCTGTTGGCTTACAGACCCTATAACAAGTAGAGAAACTGATAGCGAACAGCATGGATCCTGATCAGACTGTGAGGATGCACAGGCTGGTCTGGATCCATGCTGGTCGCAAACCCATTATGTTGGTTTTGTCGTGACGCGGCTCATATAATATTTTTAATTCAGATACTTGGCTTTGGTTGGAGCCTTGGCAACAGAAGCAGATTGGGTGTTTATACCAGAGTGGCCACCAGAGGATGGTTGGGAGGATACACTTTGTAATAAGTTATCTGCGGTAAGTACTCTAAAATATATCAAATATTAGTATATCATATAAGCCTTGTGCTTCCAGTGCTGCCAGAACTTTACCTGCTCACTCACTTAGCAAAGTAAGTAGAGCATCAGATTTGTTATCCAGGCCCCGGTTTCACTAAGAAAAGATCAGGATCAAGTGATCCTGATTTTATTTTTATTCTTTTATTTAACTAAAATTGATCGTATTTTGCTAGAATTAAATGGTACTTATTCAAAATGTAAAAAATTGCAGATTAGCAAAGAAACAAAACTATTTTAGGATAAAATCAACGAATAACAAAACAAATTAAGAAATAATTGGATCAAAATAACTATCATTAGTAATTGCTCTGATGAGTTTGATTGGTCAGGTGAGCAATCTAGGGCCATCTTAGCCCTTTTGTTTACAGTTCTGTCATAAATTTTAAGATTTACATTCTCCCACTTCAGGAAAGGGCTACAGGACAAAGATTAAATGTTATTTTAGTGGCAGAGGGTTCGATTGACAGACATGGAAAACCTATTACAGCCAATCAAATCAAAGACGTAAGTAAACTGATTCACACACTTGTTTCTTACTTTATCTGACATTGGGTTTATAGTGTACTGTGTAAGTGGTCAATGTAAAAATTTATTTGTTTTGTTATATAGGTTCATTGTGATAGAAGTTATGCATTTTCAATATTTAATGATATATTTATTATATGACCCAAAAGTTGGATATCCCTGTCTTTGACAATAAACATTGTTAGATTCTTTTTCTTCCATGTTATTTCAAATTAATGATTTTTCGAAAATAAATAACAAAAACTAAAATTTTCATTTAGCAATTTTTCCTTATACTTTGTAGTAGCGTATGAATTCATAACTTTATTCATAACGGAACAGTGATGCTAAGACTGAAGGCAATTCATTGATTAAAGGCGTTTGGGAATAACATCATTTAAATCATGCGACTTGTCTAAATGGGGGATGTAAAACAGGGTTTTCTTGCCTGGTGTAATCAGTGGATCATCATGTCTGATATGCAAGAAATATATATACAGTCATACATGTATTAAGCGACCGCGCAAGGGAAACTCCCAAAATGGTCGCTTAATGAAACGGTCATGACAACAAAGTCAAAATTTATAACTGACATCTTTTTTTGCGTTTGGAATGTTTTTCAACTTCATTTAAATATTAATGTATAATAATTAGAACACTCCGATAATCTAAATGGATGCTAATGTAAAAATAACTTTCTGATATTTATTGACAAAACAGTTTTGATCCATTATGAACATGTTTGACATTTTTCCAGAATTTTTAAAATTCTCCCTTTTTTTGCCTTGTCTTCCACACGAAAACCCTTATAAGTGAAGATGTTTTCTGTTGTGCATTTTAATTTGAAACATACATCTAATTGTAATGATTAATTTAATTGGTGATCAAGTTCAAGGTCAATTCAATGCAGTCTAAATATCAACAGCGAAGCGATTACACCATCTGAGTAGGGGTGGAGGTTTGCAGTGTTTTATCGATATTGGGTAATACAATCGCACATATACTTAACTTCATTTGCATACGCTGAAACGGTTTTGGAAATAGTTTTTCACAAAATTAAAGTGGGCGTATTAGACAAAAGTCGCTTAATACTTGTGGTCGCATAGGCAAGTTAGACTGTATATATAATCTTAAAACTAGGTCAAGAATCAGATTATAATTTCAGTAATTTTAAGGGCAGTTCTTAGAAAGTCTGCATTTTTAATGGTTTTCACTTAAGGTTTAAACATTACAGTTTTTGTGCTGGCACTACATATAAGTTTTAAATGCTTTGGTCATGTGAATAATACAAGTTTTTGTGAAGATTCATGACAATAACAGAGATCTGCCAAGAATTTGAAAGTACTGGGCCCTGGGCCAACTTGGTCTGAAAATGATGGGCCATTTTTACCAAAGTATGGGCCTTGGGAAAATAAGTAAACATTGACCAAAATAACTGTTAAAAAGTTTGTACATAATTGAATTTCCCCGGTATTAAAACTTAAATCATATTTTATGACAAGTGGTTCACTTATAATTCTGTACTTTACCAATAATTAAAAATTATGCCTACATGGTAACTTTCTGACTAATATTAATTGCAGGCAAAAATGAAAATATTTTTTAAATGGCTGCTCAAAAATTTGATATGCAAATTTATTCACATAATTGCTGGTTCTTACTTGTAATGTCTTATATTGTGCATTATCCATTTAATTGTTCCTACTTTGCACCAAATGTCCCTTACCACTGTATATTGACGAATTTTATTGCCCCTTGTATGCCTCTGTGTAGACAGCATACATCAAAGACATTTGCCGACAGACCTTTTGATCATGAAAAAAGTCATGCACAATGTTTCTCTGATTGGTTAATCACCCTGTCAAACATTCTGATGACGAAATATACATCTTTTTTTTACACTTCATCAGCCAAAACTTACGTGAACTTGAGTGACCTTAGGGTTGATCAAGTTGACACCTGTCAGATTATACTGTAACTTACAGCATTTCTTAAAATAGCAACACTTTTTTTTCAGTTACCGATAATCATTTTAAATATGACGTAGTTGTATAATTTGTTTGTTTGTTTTATTGGATTAAATTTACGGTAGTAGAAATGAGTATCTGTGTGGAAAAGGGATTATGAGAAGTGCGGTAAGTAAGATAACATGGACAAAAGCTATAGGGGAATGGATAAACTCAAGAATATGCGTAATTACAGGGGAATGGGTAACATGTTGCTGTTGGTACCAGTTTTGTCTGGATGACTAAATAACCCAGCAGACAGTTTTGTTTTCTTATAAGTCTGGCACAGATTTTAGATGCGCCCATGGCCCTTTGCTGCCGATTTTCCTGCGCCATTCTCATTTTTTTAGCGCCAATGGCGCAAAATCGCGTCCTCGGCAGATCTCTGCAATAAATAGAGATCCTGTTTTTGTCTTTACATAAAATGACAAAATATTGATCTATCTTTTTTTTTTATAAAAAGCCCGCCAAAAACCAACTTTGTAAGCAATGCATCTACCAAACTTCTCATTGAACAAAAATGTATGTGTACTCATTGATGATCAATCTCATTCCTTTGTGCAATATTGGATTAATTTGTTTTGTATTACCTGCTTTACAGCTATTAACAGACAGATTGAAGTATGATACAAGAGTTACTGTTCTTGGTCATGTACAGAGAGGTGGCAGTCCAACAGCTTTTGACAGAATTTTGGTAGGCCTTGTATTTCTAGCATTGTAAATATAAACCTGTATCTTTATTCTCTTATAAAAATATAGCTTGGATGAAAGGGAGAAAAAATGTTTTTTCTCATCATATAAATTAGTCATTAAGAATGCAAGGAGTAGTACCTGAGATCTTAATCTGTCAGTTGTCATCTGATTTAAACATAAGATAAGATAAGTACCTTGTGAAAATTGAAAGCTTTATTTTTATCTTGTCTGTTTCAAAGAAAAGTTGAGCAATTGTGATCCCTGTGTCATCACCATTGTTGACATTCTGCAAGAACCTTAATGTAGCTCTTATCAATATAAAACTTTTATTACTTGCTTATCATGACAAAAGGCAGTTGTTAGATAAGGTACATTATGTGTGGGAACACCATGACCAATTGGTTGGTGTATCTAACTTTAAAACACCCCTTGGTGTATTATGTTTGAATCTGGCCTATGACTTTGAATTCTTTTATGTACCAAAGCTATGCTGCTAGCTTATGGAAAGTTGATGGTTCTACTTAAGTATCACTGTCTACTTATACCTGAAATAATGCAGAGTGGCTGGAAAATCTCCATTTTATCATAATAGTTTTAGTGTGCACCCTACCGCATGAATGAAAATTTCAATATACATTTTAATCTATACAACACAAAGAACAAGGCAAAAGTACTACATGTATTTAACAGGACTTCACTGAGGTCTTTTGGCTTGTTGGGAAATATTTTTCTGAGACTTGCATACCAAGATATATGTAAAATTTTTATGTTTTATGCTTTTTTATTTTTCACCTAAATGGAACTAATGTACGCTGAAATGATTTTTATTTATAATGTCATTTGTATATATTTTTGAAGGGAGCACGTATGGGTGCGGAATCAGTGCTTGCATTAATGGATGCCACGCCTGATACTCCGGCTTGTGTCATATCTCTTGATGGTAATGAAGCTGTCAGGGTACCTTTAATGCAGTGTGTAGAAAGGGTAAGTTGAATACAGCAGTAGCCAGGCTTTGTTCCATTCCTTAATTTGTTAAAAAAAATATTGTTGAAAAAAAAAAAATTGTTGAAAAAAAATCATGGGAGTTTATTGCTAGTATGTCATAACTGGTAAAATTTAAAGATCCATGAAAGACTTAGATGCCTTAGTTTAACATTGGAATATAAGAATTAACTAATTATACATTTTACAATTGACGGTTGTTAATTGTAACAGCAGAGCTAATCTGTGTAGTCACTTGGGAAGCAGATCAGTCTTCTGACTCCATAACGAGTACATACTAATTCAGTACCTTTACAATCTAATAAATTACATTTTTATAAATCCAAACCCCAAACACTATATATGCAAACCATGTTAAATTTATTTGAACAAGTTTGGATAAAAAATCTTATATAAGGCATGTTAGACATCCATGGCTATGCGGTTAACGTCGTTGAATCAGAACCACTGTTGGTTCAAACCCTATCCGAATCTTTCATGTGAGGAAGCTATCTAGTGTTACGGAATGTCTGTGATTCTTCACAGTGCCCCCTTGTGTTTTAAATAATTCACACAACTGCACCTGAGGTCTTCCTCCACCAATAAAGTAATAACATGGCAAAGTGTTATTTTGACTTAAAATCCAACAGAACAAACAAATATATAAAAGTGTTAATCATTTGTTTATAATAAGTTTTAGAAAAGGAATTGAAAGGACATTTAAGCATCTTTTTACTTTGTAGACTAAAAATGTACAGAATGCCATGAATGAGGGGAATTTTGAGGAGGCAGTCAGACTTAGGGGAAAGTAAGTTGTTGTTGTTGTTTATTTATGCTTATTATGTGAGGTCATGGATATGCAACAGGGGTTTACAGTAAGTGAAGCAACAATTTCATTATGTCTGATAGAAGCTGGGTCATCAAGAAAGGTACCAGTCTGCCCACTTAAGTGAATAAGGAGAGAGGTGGATTTTGTAATTGAGGGGTCACTTGTACAATCCTAAAGAAGAGGCAAAACTTCCCTGAAACAATTGATCTTTGGCATTAAATATGATAAACAAGATCAACAAGGAAAGGCGGCGTTCAATGAACGCAACCCCCACATGACCCAGCAACAAGAACCAATGGCAAGGAGCCCAGGGGGACCCCAAACAAAAACAGGACAGGGCAAAGACAGAGCACGGACAGGTTAATCATTAAATGATAATTAATTTGATTAACTGATTAGGAATTCAAAGAAAATAAAAATAGGCCCACAAAGGGGAAGGGGACAGGAGACCGGGGGGAGGGGGTGGGGAGTAATCAAAGAAATAAAAACTAGAGGCAATGGGGAAGATACTTACCGTAGACGAGAAAACAACAAGGGACACAAGCAAAAGTGTCACCAAAACATTAAGTCTTATTATGGTCATTAAGGCCCCCACGATTACACGTTTAAACGGATTTGTTTCGTTTTTCATTCATAAACGTTTACGATATTGTTTACCGTTTAATCGAAATGACTATATTGTCTTACAAAATTTCCTAATCATTGCCTGTAATCATGTATTTTATCAATTCTAGTGGTTTATTCCAAAGTAAACAAACGGAAAATGGGTGTTTACAATGCAAAAAATGTGTGCTGACTCAATCGTGATGAGCCCTTTCACATTCTTTATTTGTACATGTACACTTCAGCCTCATTAAAACGCTCATGTTGGGGTCCAATGTCTCAACACCGCGTTCTAACGAGGCTCTAATTAGAACGCTCATTGCGAAATTACCGCATTACCCCACCCACTGCATATATATTTAACGCTGATTTTTTTACTTACTGTTCAATGAATATCGACATTATCTTTTTCTAAAACCATTCAATGATGTAAACATATATAATATTCACAAATAATACTAATTATATTTAAAAGAAAGGAAAAACTTTCGAAAGAAAATTATAAATCATGAATGTAGTGTAAAACAGGTAGCCATTACTGTAATGACGTTTTATTAACTAGGGGACACAACTAAAGCTGGACTGTAAATGACACTGTAATTTACAGTCCAGCTTTAGTTGTGTCCCCTAGTAAATCAAACGCCAATTACCACCTGTCATGGCCGCTCTATTTACAGTGCAGGATTTTAAATTGATTTTGGGCTTGTGGGTTATTTAATTCAGCGAGGTTTACATGTCAAATATATGTGTGTGAATTTTAGTTTATTTATACTCACCACCGAATGCCAATGTAACAGTTATGATATGAATTTGAGATTTTGGAAACAATTTGATGCATGACTGATGGACAGGTAAAACAACAAAAGAGCGGATAAACGCTTACCTGGGCATGTTTTTCACACCTTTGGCGATCTTAAATGTCCTAATAACAATTGTTTATTGTACTTGGCTATCAAATTGAGCAAGCGTTATAGCGCGCTATAAATCAAAGTCTACTTAAAAAAAAAATTTTTTTTTTTTTTTTTGGGAAGTTTTTTTTTTTTGGGAGCCAAGGTCTATGAGCGCTCTACTGAGATTAGCGTTATAGTGAAGAGCGAGTTATCGAGGCTACAGTGTATTAAAAATAGAAAGAAAGTCATCATTTGGCGACTCAAATACATGGTGTGTATAGTACATAGAGGTACCACCGTTTAAACGGTATCGTTTCGGTTCTTAGCAATCGTGTAAACGTTTACAAAAAATTGTAAATGTGGGAGCCTTAATGGTCATTAGACTCTAACATCTGATTCAGAAACCATCAGTTGACAGTCACTTAAAGAAAAAATGGCTATAACTGGCTAGTTATCCAGAAAACTGTTAAAAATGGACTGACTGTCAAGATATGACCAAAAATGTGTTAAAATTACCTACCAGGAAAGAGTGTGAATAACTTAATTAACTAGGTGAATTTAAGTTAATTATTCACAAAAGCTAAAGAAAATTAAAAAATGCTAATGTTTATCATCTTAATTGATGTTGGTAGATAAATGTCTTTGTGTACAGCTGATTAATTGCCTGTTAAGTTTTAAATAACTAGAAACATTTTCCTAAAATATGAATACATTTCAGGAGTTTCCAGAACAACTTAGCAACATACAGACTTCTAAGTAAATTGCAACCTCCAAAGAAAACTGCTGATGAAAGTTCTGTAAGTATTTCTGCTTATTTTTTTAATATAAATTTTGAGGACAGAGTAAAAACTTTAAAAAAATTTTATAACAAATGTTGGTGATTAAAAGTGAATCTCTGAGGTTCAGAGTGGGCAGGATATAAGCTTACTTTAATGTTTGTTATTTGTTTTGGGCAAAAAAAGAGGACATTTATTTGGTACAACGAACAATGGGTATCAGCAAATTTTGTTCATTCCGACTATATTATTGTGAAATTTTTGGGTATATTTGACATGCATCTTAAATGTTCTGCATCTATTATTACAACATTATATTGCCTTTCAACAGAAAGAAAAATTTAATTTATGACTTGCCTTTAAGATTTTTATTTCCTACTTTTCCTGGTAGTTTGCCAGTATCCAAGTAGTATACATTGCTTAACCCTTTCACTGCCATAAGGACGGCATATGCCGTCCCTATCATTTTCGGCGTATTTGCCATATGGACGGCTTTTGCCGTTTCTATAATAATAAAGAAATAATAATAATAAATATATAGATAATTATACCATCGACAATAATTATTAGTATACTTGCAGATTTGGAAATGTATATAATTATTATAATACTAATAACAAATAATAATAATTATATTAATATTATAATATAGTAATTTCTTAGAAAACCCTCTGGCAAATAGGTGATTAATAAATCAATAACCCTCTGGAAGCGAAAGGGTTAACATTGTTAGTATTGACTTGCACATAAGGGAGTGGTGACCTAGTAATTAAGGTGTCTGCCTTTCAACCGTTCAAGTCCTGCTTTGGTCTTGATCATGTTTCCTCAAATGATTTTAGCACTGCATAGTTTAAGGAAACAGACTAAAAATTGATGTATATAAGTTGGAAGAGCTTTTACAATCAAGCTTAAATAAATCAGTTTTTAAAACTAAATCACCAGCTTAAAGGGGCTACACTGAGGTCTGACGGGTAATTTGGTGTCCAAAAAAAATGTATACAAATTTCCCCACAAATCACAATATTATGACTAAAATAACAATAACTTACACTTAAACCAACCCTCTAACAACAATTATGCTAGAAAATGCATATTCACATTAGCTTTTGATGCAAAAATGAAAGTTGGTTTACCCAGACATGTACGGAAGTTACCCACAATTCATCGGGTATAACTAAAATACGCAACGGACATTTTGGAACAACAGAGTAAACGGGGTAAAAAAGTCTATGATTTTTTCTCAACTCTCTAACCTATCATGTGTTTATATAACTTGAGTATAACGAAGAAAAACTGTATAAAAGATAATCAAGGTAGCAATTTCGTAGTCTTGAAAAATCAAACGCCAGCGAAGCGGTCATTTTCTAGACAAAACGGAAAAGATATTATATACATGTAACAATTATTTTCATTGACATTTCAGTTTCAATTTCAAATATTCTTAGGCAAACATAATGCATCGGTGATATTTATTGCTAAAACGAGCACAGTGTAATCACACTAATAAAAGTATTTAACGCTATCTATAACGTATTTAAATCAAATACAGTTAATGACATGTCTCATTTGATTTGATTGTTTGTATTTGGATGGAGTGGGGGTTACGTCACACAAAACTGTGTAGGTCATTTTTTGCGACTCTTCAGTTTTACTGGTGGAGAAAGAACTCAGGTGCCCCCTTTGCAAAATTTGTTTCTGGCACAAACGGGCATCTGTGTATGTAATGAGTGACGTTTCGTAGGCTATCTTGATAGGATCGTACATACACGTTCCACACACAATTACATCATATTCATACCATAAGAAAAATTAATGCACGTTTCCTATTGTAACAATATGAAACCCCAGAAAAAAACCTATGAACTAGCTTCTGAATGTGGCATTTCTATCGTTATTCCATAAAAGCACCCCCCCCCCCCCCCCACCCCCCCCCCCCCCCCGCCCCCCCCCCCCCCCCCCCCCCCCCCCCCCCCCCCCAAAAAAAAAAAAAGAATGAATACATCAATGGGCATGCTCTGGAGTGTTGGTATTTATTACATTTGTATTACCTGCACTCCAGTTACGCACTGTGCATGTATATGAATTCGATTTAACTCTGACACGTTTTCAACAAAAAGTCTTCAAACTATGATACAATAAATGTTTATGATTCTATTAGAAACTTGTTTAGAATTTAATGATTTTTTGGTGAAAACGATATAGTTTACTTGTACTACAGATAAGATCAAAGTGCTGAAGGCACTGAAGAAAAAACGGATAAACTATCACATTTTCACTCCAGTTTCACAGGTAAATTAATTTTATATGTCGCGGTTTACATCTAAATATCAGCTAACCTTTGCTTTTTGAGACTTTTGTTTTTTGAAAATAATCTAAACGAGTAAAATAAATCCTCTTTTATAGGCAAATAATTTAATAAGTAGCATCCCCCGATTTCTCTTTCATAAATTGGCTTTAGCAATTCTTTTCTATTCAAATATTAAGAACATTCTGTCAGTGACGTGTCCTCTACTTTGAAATCTTCCTGGTGTGTTTTTTTCGGTAACAGGAAGAAAATGACAGTCTGTTCGTATCATTCGGTAACAGGAAAGAAAATGACAGTCTGTTCATTTGATCTTGACTGTGAAAAATCATGTTTTGTGAACCAATTTATCCTGCCGATAAAGATTTTGCAAGCAATCTGGTGGTTTATGTTCTAGTGCTTACACTTAATTTTTAATTCCAAAGAACATTTCTTAGGAGACCTTTAACGTTCGATTACGGTATAATCACTATAATCGAAATACTTAGGAATTAATTTTAATTCCTGTTACTGTGAAAATTTTTCGTTTCACGTGTTTTAAAAAATACTTAAGTAGCTCTAAAATTTTTCAAAACGATATCCAGTATTTCCGAAACAATTTACAAAGGCTTTTAATACACAATTCTTTATGAATCTTAAAGTATTACGAGAACCACCCATTTAATCTCCAGAAATACATACGAAAAACAAGATAAATCAAAAAGGCTGCAAGCTCTGTGGTAATTTTCTGATCTTTGCAATATAAATCGCACTGTTACAACTGTATTATTTTCCTGTATAAGTTTATTTTTATGTACTATAATTCTTCTTGCTTGGTACCAGAGTTTGAAACATTTTGCATGACTAGAGTTGCATCAAAAATCATTTATGCTCATTTTTATGACAGCCACACTTTATCCTTGCATATCGTGGCTATTTCCTTTAACAAAGAAACTTTATAAAAATAATTGCTTGAATTGGGATTTGAACCCCAGACACACTAAACGAGGCGCGTTACCTTGCACCACGGAGAAGATATACGAACAATGCCTGAATAAAATCAAGTAATACTAAATTTAGATTTTTACTGCATTTCGGGTTAATTTCGAGGTTTTTTGTTTCAAAGATAAACCTGTTCTTTAACATTGATGTAAATAATTTAACAAAAATATTCTCGGCCCAAAACAGTCCGACATGTATATATTCCACTACTCGACAGTCAGATTTATTTGTGAAATAAGCTCTCGACATCGCTTAAAATAGCATTTTCATTGATTAAAATGATATTCATCCGCGTAATTTGTGAATGTGCATTCATTGACAATTCTATAAGCCAAAGCTACTTTTTAACTTTGAATGCGTTGTAATTTGTTGGATACTTATAACAAAATGAAAATATTTCTTTCTTTTAAATAGGTAGTTTTCAGGTGTTTTAAGAACTGTTTGATGTTAGATTTGTCGTGAAACCGCTGTGTCAGAGATTGAATGTTAGCTTTGTATTTCTGATCGAAGATGGTAACATTCAATGAATACAACACCCACACGACCAAGCAAAACAGGACCACAGCTAAATTATCAATGAAAACATTAATTTCAGGCTTTCAAGTGGTAAATAAAAAGAATAAACAACAAAAATGAAAAACAGGAAGAAAGAAGAGACAAAAGTAGAGAAAAGTAAAGGTTTTCGTGCTATAAAGAAAGAAAAGCAGCGTTCTCTCCGTAACTTATTTTATGCAATGAAATGCATCCGATCAATATTTAGCCATTGTAGTTTTTTGAAACCAGTCACTCGTGTTTTCAAAATAGTCGGGGGAAATGAAACCCGACTTTTTTTATCAAAACATTTACAAAACTATTAACAATGAGTATGCCATGATAAACAGGCTATAAGGAGTAAAAACAATGGTTTTATATATGCATTGCCCTTTACCGTCTAGGAGTTGGAAGTATTATAAAACATAGTTTAAGCAATGGTTTTGTATGAGGTGAGGTTAATAATATCTTACTGAAATCTTAAAGTTACTTTTACTTACCTGCCCTTCACATTTTGTCTTGCTGTATCATGATTTTGTTTGTTTCGTTTAATTTGAAAGAAAGTTAGGGTTTTAAAAAAACAACAACTATATAATCAGTTTTTAAGTTTATTTCACTAGTCACGGCAATAACCCTGCTGTGGAAGCTTGACTATGTCGGGGGCTGCGTCATGTGAACGTTGCCGTCGCCTTGATTGTCTTTATTCCAGTTTTCCTTTTTTACTCTTATAACGCTCTCAATTTCTTTTCCACGGGAAGCTTTTCAATATATTGGTAACATTAAAGCACAGCTCAATTGACCCATCACTAGTACGGAGGCCTTCCAATAAGAAAAAAATTTATCAGGATATCTGCTAAATCAATAATGATAATAATAATATTAATAGAGCCAGATTGTAACTCTTTTTCCGACCTTCTTGATAATGTTTACCATGTGCATGAAAAACAGGTATCAATTACCTATAGTTCTGAATGTCTAGATCAAAACATAGTAATCTTTTCATCAACAAAGTTTACATCCAATGCGGATAAATATGCAAGTATGTATGTAAAATGATAAATATTAAATTTCAGATCTATCTAGCAAAGGAGATCGATTTTTTTCTTAAAGAATTTTAATTATGTGCACTAGACATACATTAGAAATATTATCTAATAAAGTTGAAGCCTAAATGTCCTATAATGAGGCCGGATTCATTCTCTATTTAGCCAGTGCTTTCAGTGCTTTGATCAGAGTTAAAGAGAAAATTCTGGAATAACATTCTGTGTGTGCATGTTGATTTTTTATGCTTACAATACTCAAATTCATGTTCGTTGTATAAAAGGTATTACGAAGTTTTTTTTCCTGAAAGGGTGTCAGATAAACCAAAGTGACCTTTGAAATAGGACCCATTACACTGATTGACAAAGTAAATTTTCTTAGCCTAGATATCATGATATTTTAACCATTACAAAGTTAATACATAATATTTAATAATTACACGAAAGCTCTCAAATTAACATAGAATATTTGTAAAATTTGTGTTTGTCAGTTTCGAACTCCGTACGTTTAGCTAAATTCATCATTGTAATGGAGAAAAAAACATGATTACAACAATGTAATGCTTTAAATATATTGAAATTGCTTTTGAAAGATTTTTCTCACAAGAACATATGTGAACAACAAGAAATTTAACAAACAAACCCATTATTTGCTTTTAAATTTATGGATTGTTGGTATATTCCGGTTTCGCACTTTCGTTGCTGCCGATACACAAAAAATTCTCCGTTTCGCTTTTTAGTCATCCCGAGAATCATCACGTGACCGTTGTTTTTATTCAGATTTGCAAACTGAAAGGTGTTTAAACGCTTTTCCCACAAAATTGGAGAAAATATGTATTTCAAACGACTTGCCAATCCAAAGAACACATATCAATGTATCACTGATTCTGTTTGAATGTCCCTAACTCGCAGGTAACAAAAAAATATCGGTTCGTGAAATTTTACTTTTTTTTGTGACATTCGGCCGTACCTCAGTGGAGTACCTTTAAATGACTACAGATATTTCAAAGCATGCATTGAGATGTTTCCTATGATTGTATTATCATTATTTTTTTCAGAAAGGAAAACGTTTTGCAATTATGAACATTGGGGCACCTGCCTGCGGAATGAATGCTGTTGTGCGTTCATTTGTGAGACTTTCACTTGCCCAAGGATACACTGTTCTAGGTATACATGACAGCTTTGACGGACTACTTTATGGAAGGGTACGTTTAATTTCAGAAGTTATTTGATTTTGTAGACTTTATAGAAATGTTATGAGATGCATTGTAGTGTTGTCACTTTTAAAAAGATTCAAACAGGTGAAATTTAGTTTTCAGTTTTCAAGCTATTATGTTTTTAATAAAGTTATATCTGTTAATGAAAAATTAATCATTATACTTTCATACCATCAATTCAATTAAGAAAATAACTTCATTTTAAATCTTTTGAATGTTGATGGCGGTAGTGATTTGCCTATGCCACCAGTTTAGATATGGGCTAGCCTGCACATCTGTGGTGTTAGAACAGATTCTATACTGTTGTCTGCTCAGTTTGATACTGACATCCCTTAAACTAACAATGGACTGTTCCAAATTCAAAGCAGGATTATACCATTATGTGAAATCGGGGTAGAAAGGGTCAATATTACATACATGTTTAAATAGATCATAAAAAAACGGTCATCATCAAAATCTATGAAGTTGTTGCATTTCAGAAGAATCCCTGAAAGTTTTTAAAAGTGACATCACAAAAATATTTGACCATTTTCCAAATGAACTAGAGTAGGGTTTGTTTTTTTGTATGAAGAAATTTCAGAATTTGAAATGTTATGTTCAAGGATGGCTTTTCTGATCAAGGTTATTTATTGCAGCAATTAACTTACACAAGACACCAGTGTAGAGCCGTGCCTTTCTGCAGTTTGAACAGGTTTTATACTGTCGCTTGATAAACAAAGTTTATTTTGACACAGAAATTCCTTCAACGGCTAATGGACTGTTCCATAGTCAAGGCAGGGCAAGTCCATTGTAAAAATATAGCCTGGTTTAGGTTTCGAAAACATATTTATGACTTTCATCAGAATGGCCATCTTGTTTTAAACTTTAATGCATTTTAATTTTGTAAAGGACATGGTTAGTACTGTATACCCTCTAATTAAAAATCCTTATAAGGTCCTGTCTTTGCCTAGTTGGTATTGGCCTTTGCCTTAAAATTGTATTGACTATCGTTTTACCAAGGGACATTGAATAAAAAATGTGTGAAAAAAATATCTGTCTAGCTTTCAGAAGACCTTTGGCCATCTTCTGGGTGAAATAACACACAAAACGGAACCTGACAGGTCTTTCTCCACCAGTCTAACTTACAAAGTTGCCATTTGTGTCACTTGAATCTTAAACATTTAATTTTTATACGCCCGTTTGAAAAACGGGACGTATTATGGGAACGCCCCTGGCGGGCGGGCGGGCGGGCGGCGTCCAATTTTGTCCGGAGCATATCTCCTACATGTATGGAGGGATTTTAATGAAACTTCATAGAAATGTTCACCACTATGAGGAGCAGTGTCGCGCACATGAACCAGGTCTCTAGGTCAAAGGTCAAGGTCACACTTAGAGGTCATTGAAAAATGCTTGTCCGGAGCAAAACTTCCACATGTATAGAGGGATTTCAATATTACTTGGCACAAATGTTCACCATTGTAAGGCGGAGTGTCGCGTGCAAGATTCAGGTCCTTGCGGCCAAGGTCAAGGTCACACATAGAGGTCAAAGTTCAGATAAAAATATGAAGATGTGTATATGGACCATTAGTCATCATTTATTGAGGGATTGTAACACAAATGGTCATTATCAAGACTACGGCTGTGATACATATAATTTAGGTCAATATATACAAGGTCAAGGTCACTAAAGATGATGAAATATCCAGATTTTGTAAATAGAATTTAATCAAAGGGCGACAACAAAGTTATTACTTTGTTCATAAATGACTTACACAATTACTCCCCTTGATCTACTTTCACTTTCAATTCTAAAAATAGAATTTAATCAAAGGGCATGAAATAATCCTCTTTCTTGGACTTGAGTATGTTCTAAAGAATGTAACATTTATTTACACATGTTTCATTCATTGGTCAAGATTCTTAACTGTGATAACTATGGTGTTCTGTAGACTTGGTATTTGTTCATAAAGATCATACAGTAATTACCTTATCAAATGTAAATACTTTCTCATAGAAATTTAATTATATTTTAATTTTCAAGTAAATATCAGTTCAGCTCATTCAAAGATTAAGAATTGTAATGAAATGTATTTCCCTAGAATAAAATCTTAAATCAGAATTTTTTAGTTATTAAATTACAATTACATGTACTTTTTATCTTCCCTACTGATTTGTTTTAAGGTGCATTTAACAACACAGTGCCAAGGATAAAAACTTGCTTGCTAGATAACACTTATCCATAATACCCCCATCTCCATCTAAAGCTTTCGTAAACGGGCGTATTTTGTGACTATGGCACCCTTGTTTTGTTTATGCAAATGCGATTTTATTTAAAACATGAAATGTTACAGAATGGACATAATATTAATGTAGGGACTATTTGTTTCCTATAAGTGGAAACAAAATGTATACAGACAAGTTAGGCAACTTAAACCTGGAGTTAAAAAAAAAAAACAAAAAAAAAACTTGGTTGAAAAGGAATTTGTTAGGGGATATACAGTAACACTTAAAAGTAGAAATTGTTTTGAATGAATGAGCATGACAATTTGATAGTCATAGAATTTATTGGATTTGTATTTTTTCGTGACAATATATACACATGTACTTAATTATAGAGTTTTAATTTATTATTTTAATATTGACCTAGTCAAATTATTGCTGATATCATTTTAGCAATACATGTGGTATAAGTTTAATATAAAATATATACATTTATAACCTGAAATGGATTAAAGCTTTTTTCTATATCTATTGGCTGTTTGTTAATTAGACAAAGTGTGTTTTAAGATATTCAGCTGAATTCTTATTACCTTTTTTCTGGAAGTAAAATGAATTATTCATTAGAATAACATGCCAAGTACCTTAATGCTCTTTACAAAAGATCTTAGATTTATGCAGGTAATTAAAGAAAGTAAGCAGTCAGTTTGTTTGGCAATTGAGATCTCCCTCAAACTCAGTAAAGCTGAATAGTTGCCATTATGATCTTTACAGTGTTGGTGCAACTTAAAATCCAACCAAAATACCTTACTTTATACTTGAAAATGCTTTTGCATGATTTAATTTGAAGCTTCTGCTCAGAATCTATTTGTCAGGGTTATACAACAAATATTGTGGACCAGTCTATATACACAGGTCTTTCATTGGTTGCTTTCAAATTTGTTTTACAAAGCAACCAATCAGACTGTAGAGTTTGAAATAGACTAGTACCCGGTTTTAAAGTTTTATAACCTTGTGCTCAGCTGTGAATATTGAAGTTTCATTGCATTAATGAGTGTGTGTTTCTTTACTGTGAAGAATGCAGAGGCAAAGAGTGAAGGGCCGAAAAATTACGTAGAAATATTTCAGGAGGTGATTCTTGCTGTGTGCACAAATGTGTGATAACTCTTGTTAAAATCATGCAGAGTTACTGCCCCTTAATATCTTTTTAATTTTGGCTTTATAAAGAATTGTTTTTTTTTTTATAAAAACGACTTAGAATGTGAGAAAATGTTTATGCCCCCAAAAATTTCTTAATTTTGGCTTAATAAAGAACTGTTTAAGAAAAAAATAAACAAGAATCTCACAAAAAAGACTTGTTTTTTTTAAAAAAAAAAATCAGTGTTAAAGTGCTGAAGTCTGTGATAATTTAGTTGTTTCAAAAAATGACTGAATATTTTAAACAATGTACTTTTTTTGAGTTGTGACAACTGAAAGACATCTGAAATAAAAATTTATGCAAAGTTATGCAGTAATGTGGCAAGTCTATATTAAGTAACAAATAATTCTGTGTAAGGCCATGGCTTGACTTGATTGGTTTCTGTGTGAGTTTAAGTTTTGAATTTGATTTAGCTTTAAATTTAGTTTGGTGTTGTTTTTTTTCGTATGCATGTGTGTGAGTGTGTTTTGGCATAAGATTTGTTTCTGTTGTCTTATGAAACAATTATATTACTTTAACCAAATGTCTATGTGACTTTACTCCTGTCAACCTCTTCTGTTATTTAAACATTTTATTAAATCAATTCAATAAAAAATAATTAAGAAAAATAAATTTGAAAATTATAATAGAAGAAAAATAAAGGCTTCAGAAGGAATAAATTAATAAAAGTATGTATGTAACTTGATGAAAAAATGATTTGTTTATACCACCAGTTAGCAATTGCTATAGAGCAAACAACATACTTTTGATGTGAGAGGTCTGAAGTTTCATTCACAGGTACTGTAGGACTGAAAGATTATCAGTCTTTAACAATAAATGCCAGAGATTTTTTGAGCCGTGTCACGACAAAACCAACATAGTGCGTTTGCGACCAGCATGGATCCAGACCAGCCTGCGCATCCGCGCAGTCTGATCAGGATCCATGCTATTTGCTTGCAAACCCTATAACAAGTACAGAAACTGATAGCTAACAGCATGGATCCTGATCAGACTGTTGCGCAGGCTGGTCTGGATCTATGCTGGTCGCAAATGCACTATGTTGGTTTTATCGTGACGCGGCTCATTTTTTTTTATTTAACAGACATGTGAGGATTTCAATGGCTGTTTGTTGTTTCTGTTATAAGTATAACATTACAAAAACTAAACATATTCTATAGTTAGATGTATATCATTGTGGAATGATACATTTTGACCATTTATCTTATGTTTTTCACAGTCTACGGAGCTAATTAACCCGGTAAGATGTATTTATTAACCAAGTTACCTACACTATATGCTTTATATTTCATCTGCAGAATCCTGGTGTTGTCATAATTATATCAACATTGTATTTTTCATGTTCTATGAACTTTGGTTGATCATGACAGTTGATAATAGTTAATATTTTGTCTTTTAGTCTTTCCATATTACATACTGACATAGCACCTTAAATTTGTTGTCTGATATCCAAGGACTTCAGTATCAAATGGTTGTGTTGGAATGTTCCATGGAATCTCATGCATCATGTTTAATGAATTGGTATGTTCCATGGAACATCAACCGTCATATGTTTGGTGTGTTGGTATGTTCCATGGAACATCAACCGTCATATGTTTGGTGTGTTGGTATGTTCCATGGAACTTCAACTGTCATATGGGATTTCCTGGTTGACTTGATGAAGGTCATTAAGGTAAAAAATAGATTTTTCTACATGTAGTGATGAGACAAGATAAATTTTTAGTTTTGTCAAAGTCACATTAGAGAGCGTCAACCAGTGTTAAATAATATTCTTGATTTTTTTTTCTTCAAATAAAAGCAAGAATTTTTTACTTTGAAATTTTTTGTATCATTCCTCCATTTCTACAGTATAAAAATTTGGAATTTCACATTTTTAGTTTGTTTCAATCATTCAACCATCACAAAATGGTGGAATGATCACTTTTTCATAATTTTGTTTATGTATTTAACATCAATATTTTAATCTTAAATGTATTTTAAACTTTTGGTTGATGATAATTATTTGGTTAAGTAACCTTTTTCTAACAGTATAGGAGATTTTTTTTTCTATCATTTTTTGTTAATTTTGTTCACATGTGCATGTATGTATATATCTACAATTAACAAACAAGCAACACAAACAGGAATGTATAGTAATTATTTATTATAAACATTTCTGTACACATGCAATATTACTTCTCTGTATGCATGTTCACTTAAACACCTTTAAACACAATCATAAAATTTTGTGATTATAATTACTTTCCTGCTAATAAAGGATTAGATTTTTATGCTCCCCTAAGGGAAAGCATATAGTCGTCGCTTTGTCTGTCCGTCTGTCTGTATGTCTGCACTTACAGGACAGTAATTATGTGGCTAGAGGGACAATAGGTAACTGTTCTTTCTCTTTGATGTCATTCATTCCGTAATGCTTTTATGTGGCTATTTTCTTTTGTGTGTATAAGAGGGAACAATACAGTAGTCACATTATTACTCTCCTGTTAGAACGTCCGTCCGCTTTTCTTGTCCGGGACATAACTTTGAAACAACAAGAGATGTCAACGTGAAACTATGTAGGTACAATGTAGATAGATCTCATTGAGTAAGTGTGCAGTTCACAAGAACCATAACTGCCGTGCCGCACAAGAACCGAAAAACTCTGCCGTGCCTTATTTTTGAATTATTGCCTTTTGTTTATTTTTACACTTTGAACTTTGTCCGGGACATAACTCTAAAAGTATAAGAGATATAAACATGAAACTTTGTAGGTAGATAGATCTCATTGAGTAGAAGTGCATTGTTAAAGAACCATAACTCTGTCTTGCCTAATTTTGGAGTTATTGCCCTTTGTATATTTTGACACTTTGAACTTTGTCCGGAACATTACTCTAGAATTATAAGAGGTATCAACATGAAACTTTGTAGGTAGATAGTTCTCATTGGGTAGAAGTGCAGTGTAAAGAACCATAACTCTGCCTTGCCTTTTTTTGAAGTTATAGCCCTTTGTTTATTTTTACTTTTTGACTTTTGTCTGGGACTTAACTCTAAAACTATTAGAGATATCAACATGAAACTTTGTAAGTAGATAGATCTCATTGGATAGAACTGCAATGCTAAAGAACCTAAACACAGTCTTGTCTAAATTTTTTTGAGTTATTGCCCTTTGTTCATTTTTACACTTTGAATTTTACCCGTGACATAACTCTGAAACTATAAGAGATATCATCACATAACTTTATAGATAGATAGATCTCATTGAATAGAAGTGCGGTGCAAAAAAACCATTACTCTGTTTTGCCTAATTTTGGAGTTTATGCCCTTTGTTCATTTTTTTATACTTTCCTGTGTCCAAAACCTTCTCAGGGAGCATCACCCGGTTCAACTGGTTCTTGTTTTGTGAGATACTATTCTTTATGCAGTATAATACTGTTTATTATTTATTGTACAATAATATTTCAATAGTGCAATAGTTTCTATATTAGAGAAAATGTATTTTTTTTTTCCCAAAAGACATGTGAAAATTGTAAGAACTGCCTTTAAAAGAATACATGTTTAGGGTAATTGCAGACATCGAAAAATATTTTCTCAGTCACTCGTCTTGCATGGAGGACGAGAAACTTGTAAATGCAATGTGCATGCAATTTTTTTTTACTCATCCTGCATCGAGCTCTTAAAATCTACTTGTAATTACGAGTGGGTGAATGGAATTTTTCGATGTCTGAACTGACAAATCTCTTTGTGTACTTTGCTGATCTTGATTAGTTTTTGTACTGTATGTATAAATGCTATACTTGTGTATCATTTTTCAACTTTCTCAATGTATGTGAATATTCTGATTAATTTTATTTTGATAATTTGAAATAACAATTATCTTTGTTATGAAATGGTTTGAGTCTTTGACTGCATTGATGTAACATATTTAACAAATCTCTTAGAATGGTTAATTTGTAGGGATTCCAGTCTAGAATGGTTCCTGTCTTAACAATCAAGCATTTCTCTCAACCAAAGCCAAAGTACTTCCAATTCCAAGCTTATAAATCTGTCATGAGATACACCTTAGGATTAAGAATTGATTAAGCACTTTATTCATTGGATAATTTGAATCTGTGATAAACCAATCAAATACTCCTGAAGAAGACCAGTCTCTTTGTGATCTCATTCATTGGTCAATTTAAAATATGTGCTAAACCAATCAGATGATAGAGCATAATCTCTTTCATTGGCCATTGGATCAAACAACCATACAGTAGAGGAGAGAATTAACCTCCTTGTCTCAGATTTATAAACTTTGAACTGGCATTACTTTTTGTCAACAATAAATGACTACATTTTTGTATACACAGTGATAGTTAATAAATGTTTGGTGTATATAAATGCAGGCATCACATCATGAAGACTTTGCTTATGTAAGCTTTCTTTTTTTCATCTTCACCTAAATATAATCATCATTGTAATCAGAATAGACAAAATGATTCCTACAAGAACATCAAATATAATACATATTATATATTACACCTTTGTAAAAATCATTCAAGTATTGGCAACAACAATAGTAGACCCATTTCACAGGCTAGAAAGCAAGTTAAGGGAGTTCTTTAATGCACATTGCTCCGTTTTAGAGATTCAATATTTAAACTGCTTCAAATAACACAAGCTCAAAGTTCAAGACAGGCATGGTATGTAATTTTAGCACAAATAATATACATATGAATTATAGTTTTATCAACAAGGTGTAATAAATATGTTTATGATTGATGTTCTGGTTTGTATAGAGTTGTAACAATTATAATAGGATAGATGGTGGTGGTGGTCTCCCTTTATGGTGTTAACAGAAATCTAATTTCAGATTGTAACTTCATTAGATTTTTCAGGCATTGCTAAAGTTTTGTAAAGTTTTTAGTCCATTTGAAGAAATGGTCAGAAGACAAGATTTTTTATATGTTTTTTTTTTCAAAAGATTTTTTTCTCTATTTTTAAAAATTATCACTTTTTCAATATAAGTTATTGTATAACAAGAGTGATTGCCCCTGATTGTGTCAAAAGTTATCTGCAATAGTATTAGATTGGAGTAATCTGTCAGAATGTCAGTAGTAATTTTGACTTGAAAGTCTGAAACCAGTCTTCACTTAATTGAAGTCTGACCCCTTTTCAAAAGTTTTAGAATTTTGATACCATTGACAAATTCTTTCAGATTAGCAATGAATATTGCCTAATTCAAAGACAAAGATGTTCATAAAGAATATTGTAACACCTCATGTTGTGCTCTTGTTTTAATCAGAAATATTTATATGGATAATAGTATTCTAGAATATTTAACAAGAGCTTACTTGTATATAGAAATAGTGTATTATGGTAATGTGAAATGCCCTATTTGAAAAAGCTTGACAAGGAAAGAGTGATAAATCCACTATCCTTGACAGTGTAAGATCTTTCTCGAGTTTTAAGCTTGTTGCTAAGTGGTTCAGGTAAAAGCAATCATGCCTATTATTAGATTGAGTTTGAATTTAGCAAAAAAGAAGTTACCCTTAGTAAGTGATTGAGCTATCCTGTAATCCAGAAAAAGATAAAAAATTTATTATACTAAACTGATTTATGATTTATATGGTAAAGATTTGTCCCTAATCTATGTATTATGTAAATCCAGACATGACATTTATTTTTATTTATTTAATTCACCAGTTATGCACATTTTGTTATCCCCCGCCGAAAAATTTCGGCGGAGGATATAGAAATAGTCTCCGTCCGTCCGACCTTCCGTCCGTCCTTCCGTCCGACATTTTTGTCCGGAGCATATCTCTAAAAGTATTTGAGTTATCAACTTGAAACTTCATAGGTGGATAGACCTCATTGAGGAGGAGTGCAGTGCACAAGAATGATAACTCTACCTTGCATAATTTTTGAGTTATTGCCCTTTGTTATTTTTCAAAATTGATTTTTGTCCAGAGCATAACTCCAAAAGCCTATGAGATATTAACATGAAACTTCATAGGTGCATAGATCTCACTCAGGGGGTGTGCAGTGCACAAGAATGATAACTCTACCTTTCATAATTTTTGAGTTATTGCCCTTTGTTATTTTTCATACCTAATTTTTCACCTGAGTGGAGCATAACTCAAAAAGTGTTTGAGATATCAACATGAAATGTCATAGGTGGATAGATCTTATTGAGGAGGAATGTTGTACGCAAGAATGATAACTCTTCCCTATACAATTTTTGAGTTATTGCCCTTTGTTTTTTTTTATGCTATTTTGTCCAGAGCTAATCTCAAAAAGTATTTGAGGTATCATCTTCAAACTTCAAAGGTGGATGGATCTCATTGAGGAGGAGTGCAGTGCTTAAGAAAGATAACTCTACCCTGCATTATTTTTGAGTTATTGCCCTTTGTTATTTTTCAAAATTAATTTTTGTCCAGAGCATAACTCAAAAAGCCTTTGAGATATCAAAATGAAACTTCATAGGTGCATAGATCTCACTCAGGAGGTGTGCACTGCACAAGAATGATAACTCTACCTTTTATAATTTTTGAGTTATTGCCCTTTGTTCTTTTTCATACTTAATTTTTCAATTCAATTTTTTTCTCAAAAAGTATTTGAGGTATCAACTTGAAACTTCATAGGTGGATAGATTTTACTGAGGAGGGATGCAGCACACAAGAATGATAACCTACCCTGCATTATTTTTCAGTAATTGCCCTTTGTTATTTTCAGCCATCAGTATTCACATAGGTTTCAAATCTGTAATCACTATAGCCATCAGTTTTCATTACCAAAAGACCTCTTAAAATGGAATTATTCCGCTCTACTACATATACATTCTTCCAATGAGCAAACACATTCGGCGGGGGATGGCCATGTTGACATGGCTCTTGTTATATATAATTTTGCACAATGAATTATTTTAAACCTTGTTCATTGCATTTGAAATTTTAACAAGAGTATAAAAATCTTATTTTCAGATAACATTTAACAGTTCTTTTATCAGGCAATTTATAAATTTATATGTTAGTTACTATCACACCTGTGTACCCCTTTGAAACAATCAGTATGGGATAAAGCAGGGTGGGGGGGGGGGGGGGGCAAGGATGTCGGGACTATGCTTGCTTATCTGTGCCATCTTACAAAGCTTTGTGCTGTTATGACAACTTAGGTAGCACATTTTTGTTCAAATTTTAATACTAAATTCCTGTAAACCACAAGTGGATTGTTCCAAGTTTATTGCAGGGTAAGTCTATTAATACAAATCAAGGAGGGCAAGGGTTAACTTATAGTGCTTATACTAATAACATATTGTTGTTCTTATCATTGTTGTAAACTTGGAGGTTAAAGAATTAAACAAACTATATAATTATATAACATAACCATAGATTTTTATGTTGTCATTATTATAATGCTTGGTATAGGTAGAAATCTTGCTTGGTCTGTTTTGTATTGGTAGAAATATACTTATTCTGCTTGGTATTGGTAGAAATATACTTATTCTGCTTGGTATTGGTAGAAATATACTTATTCTGCTTGGTAATGGTAGAACTCTTCCTTGTTTCAAATATAGTAAAAAGTTTTTGTAATTAACATTCTAGTGGCATTTAATTATTCTAGCTTTCATTGTACCTCAATTTTTAAACATAATATTGCACAGTTTAAAGTTCCCTTGATTGATGTGTTTTCACAAGATTTTGCATATTCTGTTAATATTTAGACATTCAGTAATTTATCTTGTATATAAAATGGTATTTTAGGTAAAACCAATGAGCTGGACTGAAGTACAAGGATGGTCTGGTAGAGGTGGCTCTCTTCTAGGGACAAGAAAGTAAGATTGTTTTGCCTTTATATGATATATGTTTTGAGAATCATGACCACAGAGTCATGAATATTAGATGAAAAACAGAATAAAATGTTTTGAACAAGATATTCCCCTTCTGTTTCTGTGGGTTTTGCAATGATTTCACAGATTTCCAACTGCAGCTTTCATTAAAATGTACTGACAAACTACTTTCATGCTAGGTATTCTTTAATCATTTTATTCACAAAAATTTTACAATACACTGACAGCAAATACATGTATATAATTGAGCCGTGTCACGAGAAAACCAACATAATGGGTTTGCGACCAGCATGGATCCAGACCAGCCTGCGCATCCGCGCAGTCTGATCAGGATCCATGCTGTTCGCTTACAAACCCTATTACAAGCAGAGAAACTGATAGCGAACAGCATGGATCCTGATCAGACTGCGCTGATGCGCAGGCTGGTCTGGATCCATGCTGGTCGCAAACCCATTATGTTGGTTTTCTCGTGACACGGCTCATATAGCTTTAAACACTTTAAAATTATTTCAGGGTGTTGGCCAGCAAATATGGCATTGACAAGATTGCTGAGAAGATGAAGGAATATGACATTAGTGGACTGGTTATTGTTGGAGGATTTGAGGTAAGATCAGCTGAAGTTAATAAATTTGTGTATGCATACCAGTCTTAAATTCTTGAATCTGATTGGCCAAACTCAAATTTGAAAAGAGCCAATCAGTGAAAACCATTCAGAGACTGGTCTACAAACTTATGCTATTAATCCTCTGAACTATTTAATGTAATATTATAGGATTTTTATGACAGAACAGGTGGATCTTGCTAAACCTAAAATTAAAAAGACCTTTTGGCTTTAATCGTTTATCATGTGGATATCGAAAATCAGAATACAAATTGAGTTTGACAATTATATGATTTGCTTCTACATCATTCATGATATAAATGTAATTGATTTAGGAAACACATGTTCTGTTTGTTAGTATTTTAATAAACTGTTTTGAACATTAATATTTTAATTAAATGGTACAAGGGAGGTAACTGGGTTTGTTTATCAAACGTTGCTGTTTCTAGGTAATAAGCTTACATGTTTGTAAACATTGTACAGACTGTTCATATATAATGATTGTGTGATACAGGTAAGCTGGGAAATGAGGTAAAATACTAGAGTACATATACCTGAGTAACATGACATGAGTATTTGATCAATATATATATATATAGCAACTGGTGCACAATATATATATACATGTATATATCAGACATTAGTCTTTAGTATAATATGTAACTGTGATAGACAGGGCAGATTATATAATAGAAGATAAGAGAAATTCTGGCAATATGTCAAGCAGGAAGTGTTTTACCTGCAGGTTATTGATGTTTTAAAAAGTGTGTTAAAATATAACCTAGTTAAAGGTATGGGGTTAAGAAATTGTGTCATGGAGAAAAGTTCACTAGTATGAATTGATACAGAATTGTCCCAGTTTTCATTTCATTTATTTTGCCATCATGATGTAATAACAGTTTAGTGGAATATTAAGATATTGTGGGATTATTCATATTCAACTAAGCAGAGCAGTATGAAATTTGACTAAAAACAAATAGTTATGAAACTGACTAAGTTTTGAAAATTGAATTTAATTTAATGGAAGTGATGGCCTATTGCCTCAAAGCTAAGGATCTGTTGGGTTGGAGCCTATGTTAGTCTCTACAATGTTTCCTTATCATTTGACACCAATTGCTATGTTTCACAATTGGCCTGTCTTGCAAACACTTGTTTCACAATCTGTCTAAAGTAAAATTATACTAAATATTATTAAACTAAATGAGAATGTTAAGTCTCATGTTTGATGTGCCTGCATCTGAACTATCCAAACCTTATTTGAATCATGACTAAATACCAGAATACCAAATCAGATGAATAGATCTCCCCACCTACGGGAATCAGATTCTAAAATGATCAATATAAGTTGCAATGACTTGTTTTATAATCAAACTTCATGGAAAAGAAAATTAAGCAGTGGTTGTGTACTTTAAGTAATAAAAACAGAAATAGTAAAAGTGTGGCCTTTTGTTAATTTTAACCATTTTTTTGAAAAAAATTTTTTAAGAATTGCCTTATTTTGTCCCAATTGTGTAGTAACAGGTCTACTCCTTACATAATTTGATAGGAGTTAATCCATTACTTCACTAAGGAGACAATTTATCGTAATAAGTTCTCTGGCAAATGCTTTACAGGTGTGATTGTAATGATCAAACAAGAATAATTTTATTTTTCAGGCATATCACAGTGCACTACAGTTGACCGAGGCTAGGAAAGATCACGATGCTTTCTGTATACCTATATTGGTGATACCATGTACTATTAGTAATAACGTACCGGGCTCGGACTTTAGTCTCGGTGCTGACACAGCATTAAATGAAATAACAGATGTAAGTAGTTGAGAAAATTTTAAGAAATGTTAAGGTGATTGTAATATAAGGTTGTATATGTTATTTCTTAATCATATCTAACTTAACCCAGAAATGCTTTTATTTTCATTTCTCAGAAGCTTTTTATATGCCTGAAAAAAAAATTGGAGTAAAATGTTATGCACCTGGTTGTCTGTCCGTCTGTTAGCAGGTTTTGTGTCCAGTCCAGTGGAAGGATATTGAAACTACGTGGCAGAAATGTTAAGCAAAATGAGATGATGTGCAAAGTGGAAGGTTTGACCTTCCTCAGATCAAGGTCACACATAGTTACTATAGTTTTGTATAAGAAAACACTTTTAAGTCTTATTATGGTGAAAGCAGATACTACAATGCCTGGAGTGAAGAAATTTGACCTGTAGCATTGCCTTGTTGGCCTGTATAAAACTTGTTTTGAATCATGCCCCTAGGGTCAATATTTGTCCGCCTCTGGGGTCACTTAGCTTATATAGTCTTGTATGAGAAATCACAATTCAGTCATATTTTGTGAAACTTCACTGCCAACAGCTTAGAAAGTTGTATTAATCATGACCCTCGGGTCAAAAATTGCCCACAGCCCCAGGATTCACTTGCCTTATTTAGACTTAGGTAGAGGAAAACATATCTTATCTTTTTGTTAGTAAATACTATGCCTCTATATTTTGCATATATCATTGCCAAGTAGACCTCTATAAAAGTTTTATAATTATGCACCTAGGGTAAAAAATGCCTCCACCTTGGAGGTCATACAGTCCATAGTATCATAAGGATAATTAAGATAAAACATTTTTCAAACAAGTTTCTTGATTTGGTCTCTACCCTTATTGAAGGATTAGTTTTGATTACTCAAACAAATTTACATTCAGGCGTATCTTGCACCACGCGAGAATGACCATGTCATTTTAAGCATGCAACTTGTCTTGCACAAATATGTAAGACAGGTTATTATAGCATCGGTGTAATCCTGTCAGATATGCAAGAAATTTTTGTCTTTTTATATGATATGCCATATCACAAAGTGAGAATGAAGATTAACCGTACAGTCAAACAATTGTAATATTTCAGATATGTGATAGAATTAAACAGAGTGCTACAGGCACAAAACGTCGTGTATTTGTTGTCGAGACTATGGGCGGATACTGTGGTTACCTAGCAACAATGAGTGGATTAGCTGGAGGAGCAGACGCAGCTTACGTGTTTGAGGACAAGTTCTCAATTACTGATCTAAGAGTAAGTCATTCCTGTTAGAAACTGTTGATTCTTTAAAGAGTACTAAGCTATATCTTTTCAAAGATATTTTTATAAAAATTACACAACTGTATAAAATTGGTATATTCGTAATCTTGGGGTTGATTCTCGAAAGAGTTGTAACATACATGTAGAATGCCTCTGTTATTTAAGAGAAGAGAATAAAATTTTCCTGAATAAAATCTGCTGCTTTTTCAAGAAGGTTTTTATTAAATGTTAAAGTGACATTATGCTCATATTTTCATAGTCAAGTTGAGCTGAATTGACTTTATATTTCAAAAGATTGACTGTCAAAAATTAGATGGTGTTTGACCAACAGTTGATATTGGAAAATGTTCAGGATAAAATTATAATTCTGCCTAAAATATAAAAAGACTGTCCCACTCTTTAAATTATAAACTAAGCGTTATAGGTAAATTCTAATGGATCCTTATAGAAATTTCATTTGGATCTGTGTGTTATTTATTGTTTATGCGAACTTAATTATCAAATTGAAAGGAATTATGGCAAAATGAAAACTTATTTTGATCTTCACCCATTCACTCACTATATACCCTTGGATGGGCATAATGTCACTTTAAGCAATGACTTTGTGCATAAACCAAATGTTCATAAGGAAATGTACAAACATATTTCTACCATACAAAGTATTTGTCATTAATTCAAATATGACAAAAACAATTTTGCAAACTACAGGCAGCAGAAATATAGCTTTATACACTTAAATGTAAGGGAACTATCTAGCTAGCTTATAGAGGAAGGTTCTTCTCAAGTTCCAGCTTATATTATTAATGTGTTATGTGGTACATTAGGTTTTCCTTCATATGGATAGTTGGAAAAGTGTCATTTGACCTTTACAACATTAGTATGACTCTAAAGCTAACGTCTAAAGGAACATTAATTGTTTGTGGAGATAAATATTTTTGTACTTGTATGGTGCAAAGGAATGCTCATTGGAACTGTAGCAACTAGCTGTTACATTATACATGTAATTAATAAATAGTGGGGGAAAAATGAACAAAACAAACATAGATGATTGTCTTCAAAATCGTAATTTTTAACTCTTGCATGGATTTCCTTTACACCTAAAATTTCTACATTTTCCAGGCTTATGTTTAACTATCAAGCACTAAGAATTTTAGAGCACACTGTCCATTTTACAGGCAACTGTTTATGTTTTTGAAATCATTATGTTACTGTTTTATGGCTGTTGTTTTTTCTGCAGGATGATGTCTTTCATTTAAAGAATAAAATACTCAATGCTGGTGTGCAAAGAGGCTTAGTTTTGAGGTATGTAAGCATTTTACCTTTTACACATAATGCATCAGTGTAAGAAACCCTAGCTAACCCTCCGTTTCTGTATCGAAATAATGAATTTAAGCATCAAACAGTACATAGTGGTGGTGTTGGTAGTTTTCACTCCAGATCACGGCAGTTAGCCACATTGAATTTACCAGAGCAAAGGTCAGCCACCTTACATTTCTGGGCATGCTGTCAAGAAGAACTGATAACTTCTGTGCATGCCAGACAAGAGGTATTGTGTGAAAAACCATAGAAAAGATTTCATGATCAATCACAATGAAAGTGACCTGCTCTGTCACAGAATCGAACGCTGACCGGGCGATTCACAGTCCAACGCTCTACGTATTAACTAACCAAATGGTGCCTATGGTACACAGTAGGCCCATGTCAACAATTTATATGTATTGCAAGCTTGTGTCAACAGTAACAAATTGCTCCAAATTTGAAACAGGACAAAGCTATTATAAATAGTATGGGTTAAGGAATCAATCAAATTTCAGAAGACATTTATAGAGAACAGGGATGCCAATTTTCCGCGGATTTCGAGGTACTCGAACCACTTTTGAGAACGATGTAAATCCGAGGAGAAAATTTGGTGGGTGGGGGTCTCTTTCGCCGAGTTTGCTACCGTGTATTGTCCGCCGATTGTAAATGTTTAGACCATACCTTAAATATTTAGACCATACCGCTTTTGGGTATGTTCAGTTATTGTCGCTATTATAGTAAGCCAATGAACGATAGCGTTAAATATACCGACCAATCGTAGCGTCTTTCTGTAGTTGAAGAAATCAAGACAAAATGTCGGCCGATTAGCCAATTAACTCCAACAACGCCTCGAAGATCAAAGACTTGACAAAAATGTTAAAAAATAAGTTTAATTTGAAATGCTTAGAGAACACAGTAAATGTGAATATCGGATCAACGAGACAAGCGTCCGCATTGATGATGATTTCGTCAAAATAAATATCAGTAAATATCAATATCAGTTGATGAAAATATGTGATAAAGCACTAAAAGGAAATGAATTTTAGACCATCTGAAAAGGATGAAAACCCTGGAGCTTAGTATGATGATTGGTCATGACCAGCTGATGACCCTTATTGATTTTGGGGTCAATGGGTCAAAGGTCAAGGTCACATTGACCTTGTAAGTAAAAACAGTTTCTGATCAATAACTAAAGAATGCTTAGGCCTAGGAACTTCAAACTTGGTATGATGATTGTTCATGACCAGCAGATGACCCCTATTGAATTTGGGGTCAAGGTGACATTGACCTTGTAGTTAAAAGCGGTTTCCGATCAATAACTTAAGAACGCTTTGGCCTAAGAACTTCAAACTTGGTATGATGAGGTTCATGACCAGCAGATGAACCCTATTGATTTTGGGGTCAAGGGGTCAAAGGTCAAGGTCACATTTACCTTGTAGATAAAATCAGTTTCCGATCAAAACCTTAAGAACGCGATTTTGGGATAAAGGGGTCAAAGGTCAAGGTCATATTTATCTTGTGTTGGTAAAAACGGTTGATGATCAAAACTTAACATCCCATGAGCTGTTGGCCCTCAAACTTCGTAGGTGCATTTGACTTGACAGTTAGATGACCCCTATTGATTTTTGGGGGTCAAAGGTCAATGTCATATTAACCTTGTAGGTGAAAACGGTTTCCGATCAATAACTTGACAAGCCCATAGCTGCTGGCCTTCAATCTTTGTAGGTGCATTAGTCTTGGCCAGTAGATGACCCCTATTAAATTTTGGGGTCAGGGGGTCAATGTCATATTGACCTTGTACTTAAAGACAGCTTCTGACCAATAACTCAACAACTCATGTTGCCTTGGTTGATATTTTTATATTAAACTAAAAATGCTTTTCATATACACATTTGAAGGTCTTATGTAATATAACAACTTGGCTGACATTAATGAGGCCTATATGATTCATTAATTTATGCATATATTATTTGGTAAGATTTGTAATAACTTTGTGCACAACCTATGCAGTCACAATAATCATTACCTAGTGACTAGTCGTGACCAGTAGATTACCCGTATTGATTTTTTGTTCACTAGGTCAAAAGTTAGTCATAATAACCTGATCACATGACTAATTGGCTGCCGATAGGGGGCATACATGTTTTACAAACATATCTTGTTCTAGTTAAATGTTTTAATTGTAGAGTCTTACAATGTATATACATGTGTATTTTGTAAACTGGAATTATTTAGAGCTTTTCATCTCAAAAGGCAATATTTTGAACATTAATATAACACTGTACTAACAATGTATTTCAGAAATGAGCTTGCAAATGCCCATTACACAACAGACTTTATAGAACAGTTGTTTAGTGAAGAAGGTAAAGGAGTTTTTACATGCCGCAAGAATGTCCTTGGTCACATGCAACAGGGCGGAGTACCAAGTGTGTTTGATCGAAACTACGGTACGAAGCTAGCAGCTAAAGCAGTGCCATGGATGGCACAGCAAGTGAAAGAATACACACAAGAAAATGGTATGTGCTTATACAATGAATTATTCCCTTAATTCTGTTATACTTTATACTGGTGCATTTTTAACCCGTCCAGTTCAAAGAAAAGGTCAAACCTGAAGTCTTCCACCACTAGTAGCCAAATGACCTTTACAAAGTCTGTGTGACGTAAAATCCAACCAAGTGATGAAAGTAACAAGAGGAAATCTCCTTTAAAAATGGAAAGAATTGAAGGGGCTTCTGTAATCAAATGGTTAATAATTTGCGCTTCATTGTCTTTGGTTAGAAGCCCTACAGGGATTTTCTATAGGGAATTTTTTTCCCTGTGAGGAACATTAGCTAGCTTACAGATGGTTAGGGGTTCTACTTGTATGCCAATTTATGCCTTTTAAAAATACAGAGTTTGTTTGAAGGAACAGCTTTAAAGCTGCATGCCTCTAGATGAGCCAAAAAATATTTCAAGAAAATAAAACTAGAGAAAATGCCCTAAGATTTAAAGAAAAGTAAAAAGATCCAAGTAATAATTTTACATGTTTTTTGTGATGAATTATTTATTTGCCAGTATTAATCACCATATTTCTATGTAAACAGTAAGGTTGGGGATTTTTTTTTTGCATATTTTGACCTCTTTTCAGTGATTTTGTGGCTTGTAAGTGCTTTTTGCAATGTGTTAATTACTTTTTTTGTTCACTTCACAATGTTTTACTTTTAAATAAATTTTTCAACTATTTCATGAAAATTAGCACTTTTTTAGGAAATAAAAATCAGAAATTTTCATCTTTCCTTTGTTTTTATGAACATCTTTGAGATTGAGTCATTTGTATTAATTGAGACATCTTGTTTCGGGTTTTTTTGTAGGTAAAGTTTTCACAAACACACCAACAACTGCATCTTTACTTGGTATGAGAAAGCGACACATGGAGTTTTCACCACTTCAAGAGCTGGCAAAAGGAACTGATTTTGAGTATGACATTTAGACCTAACTCTTACAATATTAGTGTTTAATTTTAAACATTTTTTTGGGCCACTATTGAGTTTGTTTGCTGGAATGGACCTGTACTGGTGTCATATGGTTGTGACTGTAGCAGGTCTCAGTGTCTATTCTAGGATTTGAAAAACAGGGGGGACTTATATCGAAAAGTAATAATTTATTACATTTGTTGATTTTTTTTCCTTCTTTCTCTATGTAAAATTTTCCCCCTGCCTCTGAAAAAATAGGGGGGAATTCTCAAAAATATGGGTGAATCCCCCCATCCCCCCTCCTAGAATAGACACTGAGGTCTTAGACATATCTTAGCCCTAGCTTGAGATATAGACACTGTAACTACTTTGCATCTGCTTCCATTGTTCATGTTTGACCATTCCCATGCTAAATAGCTATATACTGTTATTTAAATGGACTAGTCCATCCTTTTATTGTAGGCAAAATTAAAGGGGGGAAATTTTTCAAATTAGTACTGACTGAATATAGTGAACTGTGCTTTATCGAGATCAAATGGCATTGATGTGCCTGCTGAACTTGGTCTGCACTGGTTGCATGAGAAGATTCAGTTGTGGCAATCAAGCTAAGAGTTAATCAAGCCATGTAACAAATGTCATAATTTATGTTTATTCAGCCTATTATTCTGATCTTTATCTACTGCAAGCAAAGACCATGTAATTTAACTTCCCACTTTGCAGGACAAAATTCCTAAATTTCCCAATCCATAGGATATTGACAAAATTAACAGTTTGGTAAAACCTGAAAAAATACATGTAGTTTCTTCAAAGATTTTTAATTAAAGTAAGTAAAGTTACCGTAAGTAGAATGTTAAATCTTGATTTAAACTCTTTGTAAATGAATCCTATCCTGATGATGTCAAGAAAATTTTATTTTATTTTTTTCCAGACATCGTCTGCCGGAGGATCAATGGTGGTTGAAGCTCCGCCCTCTTCTTAGAATTCTCGCAAAACATACAGAGACTGGCTATGTGTCTGAGACAATACCCGAAGGTGTAGTTGATCTGGAGGAATTAGATGAATACTAAATGCTGATTGGAGGATTTGAAAAAAATGGACTGATCTGATTGGTGGATTTGAAAAATTCAAAAAATAATCCATCAATCTGATTGGACAATGGACACTTTTCTCAATTATAGTGTTTTGAACTATTAGTTTTCCCTGACAACTTGACCGTCACAATTTTTTTAGTTAAATAAGTGAAACTTTATTGTTTAAAACATTTGCATTAATTAGAACTGTGTATTTTTTGTAAATGAACAGAAGTATATTCTTTGGAGTTGATAAATTAACCTTTAATGAAGGGTTAAACATTAAGGCTTTCAAGTGCTTTTTCATTGTTTTGTTTTTTACTCCTTATGCATTTGATTTATCTGTTTAAGGAAATAGTGCTCATGTGTACTGTAAGCTGTAGGAAACAGAAATTGTTTGAATCAGTGTATTGATTAACAATTGTGAAACATGCTTGTGTTGTTTCCAGCCAAGATTTAAAATAGTTACATGTATAGGATATTTTAAAGCTGAAAGTTTATTAAGGTTTTACATTATCCTGGTACTAAGATTGATTTGATTCAAAATGGGAAACAAGAGGTTTCTGTGTTGGTGCCCACTTGTGCCTGAAATAATGCCAGGAGGTGTACCCGTGTCTTCCTTCACTTTTAAATCTGGAAAGTTGCCATTTGACCTTAAGAGTGTTGCAATAATAATGATAAAAGTTTGCATGTGGAACAAGTGAAATATTATATTTTTAGCCAAATGATACTACCTGGTGCTGCAGGAAAGACATTTCATCATGGCGTTGATATGTATAAGCTTGGCAATTATTGTGAACACCTGTTGCCACAATCTTGTTACATATATTTAAGCTAGGGAATTAATATATGTGATAAATTTTTATTCATAAAACAAATTTATACTAGATCTGTATTAGAGTGACCTCCCAGTTTACAAAACCATTTATTAATTGACATATCTTGTCAAGAATATTTATATAGTATTATATATATATGTAAACTTATTTGTCCAGTGTATTTGTGTTTGATTTAATTGACCTTATGTCAGGTTAAAAAATAAGAATGAGCATATGCTTCTTTTTTTATTTTTTATTAAACTTGTTTTGAACCTTTTAGTTGGTTATATTACCAATTTGTTTATAGTTTGTCCTGTATACTGGATCTTTCTGTGTAAAGGTTTATGCTTGGATATTATTATTCAAGCCTTAAATCTAACTGGCTGTTATTCCTGTCTCAAATTTAAATTTTAGCCAATCACAATGCTTTTCTCATAACAGTGCTTAATTATTGGTCTATTTTAAAAACTGTGTCATAGAATAAGCCAATTACAGAGAATTCAGTATATGAATATTATTTGGTATGCTATATATATCATTTAAAGATTGTTTTATAAGTTTTAAACATTTGTAAAAAAAAATTTTGCACTTAGATACAAGAAAAGAAAATTGTTTATAAAGTGAAACATGAAGGTCACCTACATTGATGATAATGAGGTGCTACAAGCACTAAGGTAGCTTGTATTGTAAAACCTTCAGTGTGTTTAGTATTATTTTGTAATTTGTGCTGTTATGCTGTTGAACCTGTTGTTTGTACTTTATAGTTATGATGGTTATAAAAATCATTAACGAAATTGAGAAATTTTTTAATTCTTTTTATTACAGTTCATAAAAGAGAATTTTAACTGCATTATTTAAGTGTTTGACTCTAATCGTCTTTGGATTTTACATGTGAGAAAGCTATCCAGCTAGCATACGGAACGTCGGTGGTTCTACTGAAGTGCTGCTGAGGTCTTCCTTCACCAGTAGAGCTGGAAAGCCGCCATATGATAATCTACACTGTATTGGTGAGATGATAAACCCAACCAAAAAAAAATGAAAATAAAAAAACAACTTAAATCCTGCGATTGTACGATTATGGCATATTTGCAGGGGATTTTTTTTTTACCATGAAAACAGTAAGGGTGCTTAATATGGCACTTTCTTCATACAAAATCTGTTTTGTGCAGACATTTTACAATTTATAAAAATAACCCTATTTTAGTTTTATTATTTGGAATATCTTTAGATTGTTTATAAGTCTTCTAGTATTTGTGCCATTTTTTGTTTATTGTATATTTACAACATAATTATCTTGTAAAGAATGTTGAGATTGAGTTAGAATACAGTATTATATGTGGTTATAATGGTAAAAAAATGATCTTCCTCTAATGTTTAGTTTATGCAGAATTTATTTAAGTTTGAATGGAAAGGAAGCTATAAGCATATTGACAATTCTGTTGACAGCTTATGTTGAATATTTTAAATGTCCTTGGAACTAGTTAGATAAATACTTTTATTTCCTCCAGAATAAATATAGAAACTGGTTCAATAAACAGTGATTACACTTAACACCATATCAAAGGAGACTTTTTGCAGATTTTAAATTTAAATATATGTGAAGTTATACAAATACATAATGATTGTGTTTTTATTTCAAAAAAGAAGAAAAACCTATAAGATACTGCCAATTTATTTAAAACAGATTTTCAAAAAGTAGGAGAAAACATCAAAATTATTGTCTAAAACAATTTTATCCTTAGTGGGGGTAATTTACTGCTAATTGTAAGTCTTAATCAATAGTAAAGAGCCTAGACTTACTTACCAATTTAAATGTTTTCCCCTACTTAAGATTATATTTACTCACACTGACCAGTAAGGTTTGTTGGAGTTTTAAAGCAACCAATGAACTTATCTTGTTATAAAGGAGCATATCTTTTAAGCGAAATGCTCATTGCAAGCCCAAGCAGCTGGCATAATGACAGACTACTAAAAACATAAATTTTGAAAAAACATGATAATTTTAGAAACAAAAGTCTCCAAAGAGTGCTATTGGCTACTTTAAAATTAATTGATAGCACTTCAGTGAAAAATAAACACAAGTGTAAATATACATGTATATCCTCATAATGAAAAACAAAATTACATGTAATATCCTCTGTACATTAATGTTTGTGTTTTATATTCTTTTAGAATGATACCACTACCTTATTGTTTGTAAAAGACACAATGTCCTTTATCTTGCTTAGTAAGGGTATATTTATTTTTTGTTTTACTTTTTTGTCATTCAGTTTTTTTCCATTATTGTTTATTTTTAAAGCATTACTGAAATAAAACCTTGCAAAACATCACAAGTGTTGTAAAAATGATTTCAACAGTTCTTATCTCTAATTTCAGCTGTTTTAGCTGACCTTGTCAAATGCTTAGTGGCGCGTTTGTGTGACGTCATAATGTTAGTCCCCTGTTGTTATCCATAATTTCAGTAATATTATCATCTCTTGTACCACTTCTACATTTGGTAGAATTCTGCTAACTTGACAAGAATGAGCTAAGATATTTGATATGTAGAATGAACTTGTGGTTCTCTACATATCTTAAATCAGACATGCCTGTTGGCTCGATTTGACCCTGCCCTTGGAGTGACATAGTTAACATAGACTTGAACATGATAGCACATTTAGGATGGTCTGGAGCTTAAATATTTGGCATGTTGCATTGTCATGTGAATCTCTTCTTAAGCTACACAAATCATGGCCCTGTCCCAATGTAAACTGATGCCATATGTCTGCATTGAATAAATATAACATTTTCTAGCACCCAATCTGAATTAAATGATGTAGGACCATCGTTGCTTTAAAAAGTAAATTAAACCAGTGTATCTTGCATATTTATATGACATGCTATTAAAAACCCCGATGTACATATCCTGCTGATGAGACATTACGCGTGGACGTCCTGGCCGAGGCCATTCTTTGTTGGTTCCAAACTGTTGCTTTCATATTTGTGAAAGGCGTCTTCAGTTTTTGGGTGCACACCAAATTATTGTTCAGTGTCAATCATGCCTGCGGCAAGGAGTTTGTCGGTTTTGTTCAACCTAATTGGCATGGCATATCAAAAAAGTTGACTGGTTGAGTCTTACTAGTATCAACACTATGTTTTTTTTTTTCAAAATTATGTTATTTTCTATCTTATTATATCAATTCATTTCAATATATGGTTTAAACCGAGACTTTGGCCAAAGAGACATATTAAGTCATGACCAGTGTAAATGACTAAAAGGGATTCATGAAACATGTGTCTGTAATATTTCAAGATTGATAAAATTTGAGCGATACATGATAGTACATTATTCAAATGCCAGAGGAGATATTTACTTGCAGGATATTTTTAACGACGTGCAAGACGAATGATTTAAGATATACTAAAGTAAATTGATTTCTCTTTGTCTTAACAATGTTTTCTCCTGTTGGTGGAAAATCCTCCCGGGAAACGCAAGTATAGTGTCGTCCTAATTAATATAACATTTACTGTTGTCTTGCATTTGACCGTTTGATTCCTGTGATAGACCAAGCAATTCCTCTAAGAATTTCGATTTTGATCAGATTGAAATGTGTGTGCCATGCAATCGCTACAATTTAATTATCGACACAATGCTGGTTCATGGGTAAAGCTTAAATGGTTTGTTATCTAATGTTTTATTACACACAATATTTAAATACAAACACACTTATATATCTTACTTTAAGGCATTCTATGAAACAAATAATTGAATATAAAAATGATTTATTGCAAATAACAACGAACTGTTATATATAACAAATTAAAATAAATTATTGTTGGTATTATTGGCATTACCTACAAGATATAACTTTTAAATATCACTAAAATTCATTTTCATCGATTTACTTTTTATGACCCGAAAGTGCAGTCATTTGTCAGATGTCAGAAAATGCAAGGTTCAGACCCTAAAGATATTTTGCACAAGACATTGTCTGATAGACCTCTACCAAGATAGTTCAAATTATAGCCCTGGGTCAAAATTGGCCCCATCCTGGAAGTCTGTTAAAAATCTTCTTGCCTGAAGGTAGCTTTGATAGTTGGTATATGATTTCCAGGATATTTATATCGAAATAGTAGCCACTAGTGTTGGCCTTGCTACCAGAGAGGGGGGGGGGGGGGGGGGGGGGTAGTACCCGGGGGTCATAGACTTTCATTATGTACAGATAGTAAGAACAGAAACTAAAACAAATGTTTTCTGAATAGGAGAAAGCTACAGCTTAGATATTTTACATGAGACATTGTCTGGTGAACCTGTATCAAGATTGTTTGAATTAAACCCTTGGGTCAAAAGTTTTCCCTGCCCAAGGGGACAGTGACTTTCTTTCTTGTCCTTTGATGTACAGCCATGAAATTTGGACCATGTGCACAGTTTGAGATGTAAAATTGAATTTTAATATCAGCTGACCTAGATTTTGACATATCACCTACTTTCTTGTCCTTTGATGTACAGCTATGAAATTTGAACCATATGTTCACAAAGTAAGATGAAAATTGATATCAGCTAACCTAGATTTTGACAAAGTGACTTAGTTTCTTGTCCTTTGATGTACAATCATGAAATTTAGGCCATGTGAAATATGACCTTGACCACCAAATTCAACTAGACTTAACTGCATTATGGCAAAGTTCAATTGTATAGAAACAATCAAAGGGCTGCAAGCTCTGTGGTATTTTCTGATCTTTGCAATCTAAATCATACTGACTATCTGTATGTATTTTTCTATATAAGTTTATTTTTATATACTATTATTCATCTTACGCAGCGACTGCGTTAAGATTTATTTTCTATAACAGTTTGAGAGTGATACATATGGAATTTTGCATGACTAGAGTTGCATCAAAAATCATTTTTTATGACAGCCACACTTTATCCTTGCATATCGTGGCTACTTCCTTAAAAAAGACACTTAAAAAAAAAAGGTTGCCTTGACTAGGATTTGAACCTTAGGCCTCTCACACCCTAAACGAGCGCGATACGAGTGCGATACCACTGCACCACGGTGAAGTAATACGTAATATGTAGCCTGAATAAAAACAAATACATTGTAATTCTAAATTGAGAATTTCCATGTCGTGTTTGTAATCCTTATCAATTTCGAGGTATTTTGTTCACGATAAACCTGTTTAACACTGATAAAAATAATTTAGCGAAAATCTTCTCGCCAAAACAGTCCGACATGTATATATTCCACTACTCGGCAGTCGGATTTATTTGTGTACTACGCCCTGGAGTATTCAGTAATCGACATAGCTAAAATTAGCATTTTCATTGATTAAAATGATATTCATCCGCGAAATTTTTGATTGTAACCTCATATTTCTATTGACTAATCTGAACTTTCAATGCACTGTAATTCGTTAAATGCCTACATTAAAAATTATTCTGTCTTTTAAATTGCTGGTTTTTAAGCAGTTTTGAGTGAAACTACTATACGTTGTTAGGTCTGTTAGGAAATTTTGTGTTAGACCGTGGATGTTAGCTATGTATTTACTGATCTTGCGATCAGAAAATACAAAAAATAAATCTTCTGTTCTTATACTACTAGTAAGGGTTGTATTAATGCAATGGCATAGCATTTTTCACAAATGCAATCTTGTTCAACTTTGAGAACTCGAAATATTCCTTAGAAATATCGATGTAATTCATACCTGTAGAATGTTGCAGACAAAATATATTTCCGGCCAGGCTTTCCCTGATTCAATTAGAGGTACAATACTTTCCACAGTAACCATTACATATATATGGTATTTTTATATGCCCTAAAAGGGCATATTATGTTATACCCCCTGGCGTCCGTCTGTCTGTCCGTCCGTCCGTCCGTCTGTCCGAGCCAACATTTGATTATTATGAGCTTCATTCCGTAGTTAAATAAAGAACATAAACTCATAAAATTTAAAATTAAGAGTTTTTTTTTGTTTTTATGAGCTTATTTTGCTTATGGACGTTGGTCCAGGTGGTGTTTATGAGCTCATTTGCCTCATAAACATCAAATTTTGGTCCGTCCGTCCGTACGTCCGTCCGTCCGTTAGCAATTTGGTTTCCGGAGCATAACTTAAGTTCCATTTGGCCCACAATGTTCAAACTTCATAGGATGATTGTCCATATTGGGTAGAAGACCCCTATTGATTTTGGGGTCAAAAGGTCAAAGGTCAAGGTCACTATTACCTTAAAACTGAAAACGGTTTCCGGAGCATAACTTAAGTTCCATTCGACCCACAATGTTCAAACTTCATAGGATAATTGTCCATATTGGGAAGAAGACCCCTATTGATTTTGGGGTCATAAGGTCAAAGGTCAAGGTCACTATGACCTTGATACTGAAAACAGTTTCCGGAGCATAACTTAAGTTCCAATTGGCCCACAATGTTCAAACTTCATAGGATGATTGTCCATATTGGGTAGAAGACCCCTATTGATTTTGGGGTCAAAAGGTCAAAGGTCAAGGTCACTATTACCTTAAAACTGAAAACGGTTTCCGGAGCATAACTTAAGTTCCATTCGACCCACAATGTTCAAACTTCATAGGATGATTGTCCATATTGGGAAGAAGACCCCTATTGATTTTGGGGTCACAAGGTCAAGTCAAGGTCACTATGACCTTGATACTGAAAACAGTTTCCGGAGCATAACTTAAGTTCCAATTGGCCCACAATGTTCAAACTTCATAGGATGATTGTCCATATTGGGTAGAAGACCCATATTGATTTTGGGGTCAAAAGGTCAAAGGTCAAGGTCACTATTACCTTATAACTGAAAACAGTTTCCAGAGCATAACTTAAGTTCCATTCGACCCACAATGTTCAAACTTCATAGGATGATTGTCCATATTGGGAAGAAGACCCCTATTGATTTTGGGGTCACAAGGTCAAAGGTCAAGGTCACTATGACCTTGATACTGAAAACAGTTTCTGGAGCATAACTTAAGTTCCAATTGGCCCACAATGTTCAAACTACATAGGATGATTGTTCATATTGGGTAGAAGACCCCTATTGATTTTGGGGTCAAAGGTCAAGGTCACTATTACCTTATAACTGAAAACAGTTTCCAGAGCATAACTTAAGTTCTATTCGACCCACAATGTTCAAACTTCATAGGATGATTGTCCATATTGGGAAGAAGACCCCTATTGATTTTGGGGTCACAAGGTCAAAGGTGAAGGTCACTATTACATTGATACTGAAAAATATGTTTCCACGCATAACTTAAGTTCCATTTGACCCACAATGTTCAAACTTCATAGGATGATTGTCCATATTGGGTAGAAGACCCCTGTTGATTTTGGGGTCAAAAGG